AAGCATCAGCACCAGCACGAGTGCCAGCACTGCAACAAGCGTGCCTGTACCTGCTCCTGCTCCTGCTGCTGCTTCTGATCCTGCTCCTGCCTCTACCGAGACTACTGCTGCTACAGCTCCCGCGTCTATTGCGCCTACACCTACGCCTACGGCTACAGCTACAGCTACAGCTACAGCTACAGCTACAGCTGCTGCGCCTGTACCCTTACCCGTCTCGGCCTCTGATGCCAACGACGTCGTCGCTTCCTCGACAACCTCTACTAATTCTGTCCCTCCCCCGACCACCTCGACCTCACCTCCTCCTCCTCCTCCCTCCGCGACCCCGACCCTCACCTCGACCCCGACTGCCCCTACCGAGACGACGTCCACTGCACCTGCGAACGCGTCCGCGACCGCTTCTGCACCGGCGCCCGTCACTGCGACTGCGACTGCGAGTGCTCCTCCTCCCGCGTCAGCGCCTGCTCCTTCCGCCGTCGCTCCTGCGCTTCCCACCCACCAGCAGAACGGTGACGCGAGGGCGTCTTCGTCGCCCGCCATGGCCAACAACCAGCCGCCTGGCCACCCGAGGAGCTACCCGAGCCCGAACAACTTCCCTTCTCCCATGCCGCAAGGCCAGTACGCCTACCACCAGCCGACCCAGCCTCCTCCCGATCCCTATCGAGCCAGTCCCGGCGCGCCTGTTCCCTCTCTCCCGAGCATGAAGAGTCTCGATCACCACTACCCCTCGGCCGCGCCGCAGCACCAGCCTATGCCCATGCAGATGCCAATGGCTCCCAACGCCGGCATGCCCTACTACCTGCCCCCGGGCGTCCAAAACCCATACTTGGCGCAGGATATGAACAGCATGCGCTATGCTCTCCCGCCAGGCCACCACCACGATCCTAGACTGATGCGCGGTCCCGGAGGCCCCAAGAAGGTACGTTACGGAGGTTACGGTGGTTGACAGTCGTCACAAGTTGGAACTTGAGCTGACGACTGGGCTTTTCTGTTTTCTAGGAGATTAAGCGCCGGACGAAGACGGGTTGCTTGACGTGTCGCAAGCGTCGCATCAAGGTTAGTAGTGTGATTTTCCATGACATGTTTTTTTTTCCCTCTCCTCCCTTCACATCCCGCCGCGGCGCATTGCGCCTGCACCACAATTGGGGAATGTTCGGGGGCTCGTCAGTGGCACCCAATTGAGGAAAGAGGAAATGCGCGAGGCAGAGTAAAGAAACAAACTTTACGATAAGCGAACCGAGTCGTGGTTTCGCGGGAAAAACGGTCGCTTGAATGTCGCTTCTCGCTTGACTTGGAGCTACTGCGAAGCGAGGAGCCATGAACCACGTCCGCGTCCCGGGATCGCGCCCGCCCGCGCCCGCGCCCGCAGGGAGGAGCAATCTTCCGTTCCTGCAGAAGAACCTACCGCACTGCACCCGACACCGCCAAACGCCAAACGCCAAACGCCAATGCCAATGCCCGCCGCGCCCACAGCACGTTTCGGCTGGTCTCGCCTCGCCTCGCCTCACCTTATCCTCACCTCACCTCACCTCACTTGCAGTCGCAGCCCCTCTCCGACCGGCTCCGATCGGCGTACCTACTTCTTAGCCTCACCGACTACCTTACCCTATCGCTGCTGCCTTACCTCATCCATCCCACCTCATTCCTCAATTGACACCGACACCGGCTCTCACCGACAAGACATCCCATTCGCACACTTTCCCAATTGCCGCAATCTGATTCATTGCATCTACTCGTTAATTCTCTTTGCACTCAAACTAACCAACCTCATCAGTGCGACGAGGCGCATCCCACTTGCAACAACTGCAAGAAGTCCAAGCGCGAGTGCTTGGGTTACGACCCAATCTTCAAGCAGCAGCCTGGTCCTTCCGCCATCCAGCCCGCGCCCAACACCCAGCGCGTGCCGACCCCGACCATCCCGTCCGTGCCGTCGTCCGTCCCTCCGACGGTTCCCACCGTTCCGTCGACGCCCGCTGCTCCGGCCCCCGTGTCCGTCGCCTCGTCCAACCCCTACGGCAACCAGCCCGCGGTCCTCCCCAGCTCATATAACGCCACCGTCGCATCCTCTCACGCACCGCTGGATCCCGCTCTGTCTTCGGCAGCATCAAGCGTCAAGGCTGAGCCGAACTCGTACGATTTCGCGGCCCCGATAGATCCGGCTCTGCAAAGTCTACCCGCTCAGGCCACCATCTCCTCGACGCATCATCAGCCGTTCTCGGCCGAGCAAAGGGCAGGCTTCGACAACCATCTCAGAGGTGCGACCCTCCCGCAGTTATTGTACATTCCTTGCTCTCTTTCAGCGTTGCTCTGCATCCATGGCTGTGTGCTAACACGAGACTTGTAGTTACAAAGATGAAAATCGATGAGCTCATCGGCCTCCTGGGCCCTGCTGCTCCCACCCAGGAGATCGCCCTCACCCCGGAGATTTTCGGCGAAATCATCAGCATTTATAACGAGGTGTACGCCGTCGGCCTTCAATCCTTCTTCGAAACCAACTGGTTCCATGCCAAAGATGCTCAAGGCAAATTCGCTCTCGAGCACAACCAGCCAATCATCAGCCAATTCGCATCCTTCGTCAAAGTCCTTCAGGCCGTCCCGGCTAACGACCACACTCAAATGGCCCATTCTGGAGTTCTCGAGGCCCGGTTGATCTGGGCCCTCGCCAGTATGCCATGCAGCGGTGCTACCATGACGGCCAATACGGATGCGAAATTCTTGCCCTCTCCTGAGGATTTGACGGAAGCTGCCAACAGAGTCAGGGTTTTCGAGACCCTTCTCAGCGGCGACTTCCTGCCCTCCAATCCCCTCGCACCTCCCGTCCCCGACGCCAACCCGCATCGCCAGCAGGAATTTGAGTTTTGGCACAACCTTGCTCAGTACCTGTGCCATCATGATGCCGCCAAGCGCGACGAAATCCTTGGCAATCTCCGGTTGCAACTGGGTGGCAGAGAAAACCGCGATCTCATCTACTCGATTGCCATCTCCCGCGAGATCTCCCCTAGGGTTGAACCAGGCTTCGAGAGGAATATTCCCCAGCACATGGACGAGTCCGACCCTAAGAACCGGCTTTACGTGGCGAACAAGTTTATTCAAGATGAGGCGCAGGTCACAGGAGGAACGACAAATATTGTCCGCCGTTTCAGTGAGATCGCCGTTCGATCTTTCATTAGCCCGGGTGTCAACATTGCGAGGGGCTCATCCATCCCAGGACAGCAATAACCAGTCACGCGACCGGTTTTCCTCCATCTTTCAGCATCGAACTCTGCAGCATTTTCCAGGCTCAAAGGGCGAAGGGACCCAAAAAAAAGTTTTGTGTGTGTGTGTGTGTGTGTGTGTGTTTTTTTTTTTATGGCGTTGAAAGGGGAGGGAAGGAAAGCATTGTTTTTCAATCCTTTGATTTTCATTTCCTTTCTCCTTTGCATGCGGGCGGCACCGCGCCGCTCGTCCCCCCTAGTATATTTCACGGCCGATGGCATTGTACTGTACAATATGTCCAACTAAAATTAGTGGTATTCAGGCATGGCGGTGCGGGTCTGGCGAAAAGAAAAAACGGTGGAGAGAAGGAAGTGTGAGGTTGAGCATTGGGAATGGTTGAGGGCAGGCTTTTTGTCCAAAGACTCCTTGGGCGAGCCGGATCTTGGGTCTGGGTGAGCCAGAGCTCTGTACGATTATAGACAAGTCCCTGGTCCCTTATTGGGTAGACCAGCATAACTAAAACAATAACAAAGTTGCATACAGGTCGGGTCCCAGCTCCGTGTGATGAGGATATCATTAGCAAGCGTTGCTGCGTCTGGCATCCTAGGATGGACTGGCTCATATGGCATGTAGTGGGCTCGCAGTAGGGAACGGGAAAATGACCCAAACGCCAGTTGAAGACGAGACGATTATTCCCGATATTGGTATTGCATGGTCGAAACGAACGGTATCCCCTTACAGGGAAAACACCACAGCATCGATGGCTGCATGTCAGCGACGCAACAACAGGCCCGGCCCAAGGCGGAAGGCTTCGCCGGTCCGAAACCCCGGTGAGAGAGCTGGTCCAACGGCCCATTCGGGGACTCTGCAATGTTCAACTCTGAACGACCCAGCCATCGGGAATGTGCCTTGCAAATTGGCCCGATGTGGAAGTTGATTACGCAGGGGTTGAAGACGGTAGCGAGAGGTACCATCAAGACGGTACACGGCAAACGGGCTGCGATACCGGCCGGCGTACCGGGCGCTTGGCCAGTGGCCACCCGGCCGAGACAAATCTCATCGGATAAGAGTCTTGGATAAGAGTTTTGGGAGACCTGGGCCTCCAAGCAGGGCCATCAGCGGTAATTGGACGGCTTCTTGCTCTGATGGAATGGGAATAATACCAAGTGCTGACTCGGCTTTCTCTCCGATTCATCTTCCAAGCCGTTGACATGGACCGCGACGAATTGGATAAAGTCCATAGATAAGATCGGTACTGATGAAGTTTCTGCTTCGTTGCGATTTCCGTCCAAGTCTTAATCAGTAGGTTCCATTCCTTCTTTACCAACACATAAGAACAGCAACACACCTCGACTTTCCAAAGTGTCAAGTCCGCCCTACACCTACCTAAGTTACCTATCACACTCACCAACCCGAGTCCCCCAATTGAGTTCACCCCACCGACAATCCCCCTCCCCCACCTTCCAAGTCGGACCCTCCGCCTTGAGCAGGTCACCCCGCGCCGTCGCCGGTCCTTGGAGGGGCAGCTGTGTAGTGAGAGCATCAACATCATCATCGCTGCAACGCTTGTATCTCAACTTTTGGCCCCTACAACTCAATCCTCTAGCCTTGGTATGTTGTCACCGATACACTTCAGAAAGGTGCAAATACTGACCATTCCCAAGGTCAAATCCTTCCACTTCATCAAGCCCACTACGTGTGTAAACTCATCGCGTCGAGCTCTCTCAAACACCATTCACACCCGTCCTCTTCCCAGAGCTTCAGTCACACAGCATCCAATCCGTATACCCAACGCACGCCTCGCAACAATGACGAAGCCAAAGGTCCTCCAGCTCGGCAAGATCGAGCAGTAAGCCTCTCTCCCCTCATAATCCACATCCAACCGCAACTGACACCCTCCAGCGCCCACGAGTCCTGGTCCTCGCTCGGCGCCGTCGCCGACATCATCACCCCGAAATCCACCTCCCGCCCCGAGTTCCTCCAAGAATGCGCCTCCGGCGCCCTCGACGGCGTCGTCGCAATCTACCGCACCTTCTCCAGCGTCAAGATCACCGGCAAGATCGACGCCGAGCTCGTCGCCGCCCTGCCCCCCTCCGTGCGCTTCATCTGCCACAACGGCGCCGGCTACGACCAGATCGACGTCGCCGCCTGCACGCAGCGCGCCCCCACACCCCTCCTCGTCTCCAACACGCCCACCGCCGTCGACGACGCCACGGCCGACATCAACGTCTGGCTCATGCTCGGCGCCCTCCGCAACCTCAACGCCTCCATCCTGACGCTGCGCGCGGGCAAGTGGCGCGGCAGCCCACCCCCGGCCCTCGGCCGCGACCCGCAGGGCAAGGTGCTGGGCATCCTCGGCATGGGCGGCATCGGGCGCAACATGGCCAAGAAGGCGCGCGCGTTCGGCATGAGCGTGAGGTACTACAACCGCACGAGGCTGTCGGACGACCTGGAGCAGGACGCGGGCGCCGAGTACGTCGACTTTGACACGCTGCTGGCCTCGAGCGATGTCATTTCGCTGAACCTCCCCCTCAACGTAAGCCATCCGTCTATTCCTCATGTTGAAAGATGCACACTAAACAAGACGTACGCAGCCGCACACCCGCCACATCATCTCGACCGCCGAGTTCGCCAAGATGAAAAAGGGCGTCGTCATCGTCAACACCGCCCGCGGCGCCGTCATCGACGAGGCCGCCCTCGTCGACGCCCTCAACAGCGGCCAGGTCGGCAGCGCCGGCCTCGACGTCTTCGAGAACGAGCCCGAGGTCCACCCCGGCCTGCTCGCGAACCCAAACGTTCTCATCGTGCCGCACATGGGCACATACACGCTCGAGACCACGGTCAAGATGGAGGAGTGGGCGATTGGCAACGTGCGCCGCGCCGTAGACGAGGGCAAGCTGAACAGCGTGGTGCCGGAGCAGAAGAGTGTTGCTGGTGCTTAGAGACGAATGGGAGACCGGCTAATTGCCGATGGATTCGTAATTACAAGGCGCATCAAACATGATAACATAGACTCCGAGCATTGGTATACCATCACTGGCAAACTACTCTCTGGCTCCCTTTATGTCGCAACTCTCGCAGTCGTCACAGCTGTCGAGATTCTCAGGTTCAAGACTCGCTGGGACATAACCTTCAACAGTGTCACATGGAACACAGCAAGTAGTTCTCAGAGGACAACATATATTGTCTATGCCGGGCCACGGTTGACGGGCCCTAGTCCTAGAGTTGATCTACCCTTAACCCCTATATCCCATCCGGGGGTTGAGTCCCATTTTCCCAAATTCGGGCCGAAGAAAACAAATACAAATGCCATGGTCTGGGGAATCACTATTCACAAGCCAACGCCTATTTTTTGTTGAAAAATCTCGCAGCCAGGCCCCCCAACTTTTTTGAGTTCCAGCCCGTAACCGCCCCCAACCGAGATTCCCTTCCCAGATGTGTCATGCAAGTCATGCTGTTGAGAACACACATTGCCAAATGTTATGGTGTAAGCTCGTTGAAGTCATTAATCGGAGTGTTGAAATCCAACTTTCAAAGATTGGATATTATAGAGAAAACGCTTAGTAGCGGTAGATGTCGCTCTTGTAGGGACCCTCGACGGTGAGGCCGAGGTACTCAGCCTGGACCTTGGAGAGCTCGGAGAGCTCGACGTTGCAGTGGGCAAGGTGGAGTCTGGCGACCTCCTCGTCGAGAACCTTGGGGAGGACGTAGACGCCGACCTCGAGCTTGCCGGACTTGGCGAACTCGACGTACTTCTGGCCCCAGGCAGCGTCACCGGACTTGTACAGCATGATCTGGGCAAGGACCTGGTTGGTGAAAGAGCAGGACATGACGAAGGAAGAGTGGCCGGTGGCACAGCCAAGGTTGACCAGACGGCCCTCGGCGAGGAGGATGATGTGGCGGCCGTTCTTCATGAGGAAGCGGTCAACCTGGGGCTTGATGTTCTGGACGCTCTGGGCGTTGGCCTTGAGCCAGGCGACGTCGATCTCGATGTCGAAGTGGCCAATGTCTGTGAAACACGTGGTTAGATGGATGACTATTGCGTGGACTTCTTCAGGAGTACTTACTGCAGACAATGGCGTCGTTGGGCATGGCCTCGAAGTGCTGGGCAGTCAGGATGTCACGGCAACCAGTGGTGGTGACGAAGATCTGACCCTGGGAAGCGGCCTTCTCCATGGTGGTAACCTGGTAGCCGGCCATGGCAGCCTGGAGGGCGTTGATGGGGTCGATCTCGGTAACGAGGACGCGAGCACCCATGGTGTGCAGAGCCTGGGCACAGCCCTTGCCGACATCACCGAAACCAGCGACAACGGCGACCTTGCCGGCAACCATGACGTCGGTAGCGCGCTTGATACCGTCAATGAGGGACTCACGGCAGCCGTACAGGTTGTCGAACTTGGACTTGGTGACGGAGTCGTTGACGTTGATGGAGGGGACAAGGAGCTTCTTCTCCTTGAGCATGCGGTAGAGGTGGTGGACACCGGTGGTGGTCTCCTCAGAGACACCGTAGCAGTCCTTGAGCATCTCGGGGTACTTGTCGTGGACAAGGTGGGTCAGGTCACCACCGTCGTCGAGGATCAGGTTGAGCTTCTTGCCATCCTTGAAGGCAAGGAGCTGCTGCTCCAAGCACCAGTTGTACTCCTCCTCGGACTCACCCTTCCAGGCGAAGACGGGAACACCGGCGGCGGCAATGGCAGCAGCGGCGTGGTCCTGGGTGGAGAAAATATTGCAGGAAGTCCAGGTGACCTCGGCACCGAGAGCAGTGAGAGTCTCGATGAGGACGGCAGTCTGGATGGTCATGTGCAAGCAACCGGCGATACGGGCACCAGCGAGGGGCTGGTCGGCGGCGTACTTGGCACGGGTCTGCATGAGACCGGGCATCTCGTTCTCGGCGAGCTCGATCTCCTTGCGGCCGAAGGCAGCCAGGGACAGGTCGGCGACCTTGAACTTGTGGGCGGGAGCAGCCATTGTGATGTTGATTTGTGGTATTGGTGGGAAGGGAAAGAGGTGGATGGGGAGGATAGGAGATGGAAGGAAAGAAGAGAAAGGGAAATCAGAGCTCTGATGGACGGGGGGAGAAGGAGAAGAAAAAGACTTTGGAGGGGTCGAGTCCGGAAAGGGAGCAGGGCGGTGAGTGTGAGTTCTGCGTTGTCCGGACGGAAATTTCTGCTGGGTGTGCTTGGGATTGGACTTGTCGCTCGCTGGTCGGCGTTGCGCGGTGCCTGGACAATACCTTCCTTACCTTACCTACCTCTGCGAGTGGTGAGTGGTGACTGGAGGAGGGGGAGGGGGAGGGGTGAGGTGGGAGGGGCACCGTGTTGGAGGGGGGACACTGGACCTCAGCCAGAGGCGGGGCAAAAAAGTTCAACCAGGTGCAGCAGGTGAAGTGTGGCAGGCGAGGTGGGGTTCCAGTGCCTTCCTCTCCCTGGTTGAGACCTTCCATTGAGATGGGAAAGAGGGAGAGGCCGAGAGGACGGAAGAGACTTTGGGAGCTGACACGGCAGCCGCGATAGCAAGAGGTACATCCAAGCTATCGACTCGATGATCCGACGCCACTTTTGCAATGTACGCAGTAACCCTCCAGGGGCCCCTTCCCCTTCATGCCCCGCCACTGCCTCTGTCTCTCCACGTCTTTACTCTACCTACCTACCTACCTACCTACTCTACCTTACCTAGGTACTCCGGACCATTCACTCGACGAGGAGCCCAAGGAATGTTTTGCATTCTCAGCAAGGAAGCAACAGACAATGGCCATGTCCGATTTCAAGGCTCACTTACAATGGCACCAACGCCTCCGGGAAGGAAAGACGAGCGAAGGGCTGGCTCAGCCCATTCTCAACTGCCCTGTGTGCCTGTACAAAACTTGTCAGGATTGGTCGAGGAGGCTCCAATTCGACCCCGCGCGCGCCTGGTGCCGCTGTCTCATCCAATGTCAACTCAATTGGTGTTTTGGATTTTTTTTTTTTTTCCCTTCCCTTCCTCAAACCCTTCTCTATCTGCCAGGCACCTCAAGCCGTTCAATAAGCCACCACATTGATAGGGATGGCTAGACCCAAGGGAGCAAGCTTGGAATGAGCTTCCTCCGCCACCCGCAGAGCTCACTCAAGTAGCTCTGTTAACGTGCAACCGTGCTGAATTGGAGCTTCGTTTTTTTATCAGTGCTGATCGGACAGCTCCAGCATCCCCAAGCCGGGGCCGACCTGCTCGGAGGTAAGGTGAGGTAAGGTTAGGTCGGGTAAAAAATTTGAAGAGGCCGGCCAAGCTCAGGTACTTGCAGCCTTACTCGTATTGTTGCCCGGCCACATGCAAATTCGATAGGCCACAGGTACCTCGTGAACCCTGATGGGGTCCATTTGGACAGCCATTCTGTGATTAAGTCTAGAGCCCACAGCCCACCTAGAGCTTTGCCCCTCCTCGCCCATGGCACTGCACTCGGGACTGCGAGGTGTAAGTACTTCACTTGGGAGACATCAGTCCAGACCTGCGTGCCGCCGAGACTCGATCTGAGAGGCCAACCCAACCATGCAAAGTCCCTTTTGTTTCCCCTTGTTTTACCGTTTTCACGCGCTAGTCTCTTTCCAGTGTGAAACCCCTCGAAATTGCCCCACCATGCCTCGGGCAACACGCACCACCTCCCTCCTCTCGACTGACTTTCCCAGGAACTCAACACGGCCATGCGAATCATGCAAACCTTCCTTGAGGGCGCACTATGTTGTGTTCACTCACGTTGTCAAGAGGCTACCGTGGCACCAAGTAACACATCCTACCTTGCGTGAAGTACTTTGAAGCACAGTAACATGGGACGGTAAGGCGAACTGAGGCTTCTGAAGCCGACCGGTCCGGCCCAAGCTTAACTGGTAAATCATCATGTTCCAACTGCTCTGTCTGAAATACTCTCTGGACGCGAAACAGGCGCCAACCTTGCCGTCGAAGCTATCTAGAACTATGACTTGCCGAGATATAACGTGCGTGCTCTGGTTTGCACCATCATACTCCCTCCCATGATCAACATGCCCTTTCCGTGCCATGGCCTCGTCTACCACCAGGCCTTTACTCCCAGTTGCCAACAACAACTCCCTGGCCAGCTTCAGCCAGCAGAGAACCCAAGGGAGAGGAACTGAATCGTCGCTTTGGTATGCAAGAAAAACATCGAATATCGACTCGATACACTCTGCCTGGGACTAATTACCGTAACGCCGTTTCGAATGCTTGATCCGCTTCCCAGATCATTCATCATTCCCAGAACACCCGTTCTCTAAGGTAAGGTAATCAACTCTTCTTTTTTGTCTTTGCCCTTCCCCTCGACCCTTTGTTCTTCTTGAATCCGTCGTATCCGATTCGCATACGATGACACCGACAACCGAGCCTGCCACTGCCCCTTTTCCTCACGCCTCCTAAGCGTGCTTGGGCAGCAGGTTCTCCCTGACGGCGAACATCTTGGCGCTGATGTTGGCCGTGAATCCGTCCACCTGCTTGCTGTACTGCTCCACCTGCTTCGCGTTGAGCATGCCCTCCAACCGGCTGGGCTCCTGGGGGAGCTTGAACAGCCTCTGCCACTCGTCCTCGGGCAGCGGTGTCTGCTTGGCCGCCGCGCGCGCCGCGTTCTCCGCCTTGCGCTTGGTCTGCCACTGCGTGATCTTGGCCTGCTCACGGCCGAGCTGGCGCTGGTAGAACTGAAAGTTGTTGAGGTCGGTGTAGTGCGACTCGATGCTCTCGAGCAGGAGGTCGCAAGTCTTCTCGAGGAAGGGGTCTATCGACAGGTCGAGGTTGTCGACCGAGGGGTGCAGCGGCTGCTTGATGGGGTCTTCGCGCAGGTCCGACAGAGAAGTGGGGGGCTCGATCTTGTCCTGCTGGGGGATCTGGGGGAGCTGGTGCAGGAAGGACGTCAGGAGGTGGGTGTTGTGGACTTCGACAGGGAGCTCGGCGAGAATGTCCTTGAAGGACAGCTTGGACTTTTGCAGGCTGTGGCGGTGACGTGTGTTAGCAAACGTGGCATTGCCGTGAAATTCGCGCGGTGCTCCATATCGTACCTCTCAGTGGTGAACTTGTTCTCCTTGTAAGCCTCCATGAAGGTCGGGGTGAGCTTGAAGGCGCGCAGGCTGAGGGAGCCCTGGGAGCTGCGGCTGACGTCGTGGACGAGGGCGATGGTGCGCTCGTTCTCCTTCTGGTAGTGGAACTGGTTCTCGATGAAGCTGAGGTTGACGAAGTTGCCCATGGCAGCGGAAGTGTACCAGCCGACGTTGTTAGCATCGACGTTGACCTCCTTCAGGTGCTTGATCATCTCGTTCTGGTAGGCAATGTTGGCCTTCTGGCGGGGAGCGGCGGAAGCGAGGGCAGAGGCGTCGTTCTGGTGGCTGTCGGTGTTGGCGACGTCGACCGTGGGGAACTGGAAGGAGTTGGTGATCTCGAGGACGCCCTCGGTATCCATGCCAACGATGGCACCGGTAGCGGTCGTGGGGAAGGTCGCAGAGCCATGCTTGACGATTTTCATCACCACCTACGGGCGCATAATGTCAGCGACAGGTGCCCATGTGGCTTTCGGACGTGTGCCACCATCTCGACTGCAAAGGCGAGGTGGGGCAGGATTTGGCAGGACTCACCAGGGCCTCAACTTGGACCGCCTTGAGCGGCACCTCCTTGATAGCATCCGCCATTTTTGCGATACGATCGGGGATTCGTGCAGGAGTCAAAGATTCTGACGGCGTCGGTTCTGCGGCTGCGGAATCGTGGGTGTCGCGATCTTGGCGTCGGGATCGAGGGGCTCGTCGTGATGCGAAATATCGAACTTTTCGCTACAACGAATTGTGGGAGGGATTGTGGGCGTGGAGGGCGGTGACCAGAGGCAGAATTTGCGGGTGTCTTTCTTCAGTGACTGACGCTGGTTTGCAGTGTGGCCTCCAGGTTCCAGCGGGTGCTGCTTCGCTGCTGTGTGGCCTCGCGGACTGGTGGCTTATGTAAGTAGCGAGCGAGCTCACCCCTCCTTCAGGTTAAGACCACCCCTCAAGGACCAGCCCTCCAGCTGTCAAGGACCGCCAGTAGCCGCCACCTCTGGCGCCAACGCCCGCCGTCCTTTTCCTCCCACGGTGATCCGTAACAGATTCCACACGCCGTGTCCTGAAGGGGAGGGCATCCCACACTTCCCCCCACGCCGAAAGCACTCAATTCGAGTTTAAATTCAACGTCGTCTCATCTCGCCGCACCTCGACCGCTACTCTTCGTCTTCCACTTCAAAATGTCCTCCATTTTGTTCGTCTGCTCCTGAGCATCATTTTGCGATATCACTCGGGGGGTGTACCGTGCCGATCCGGACCCCAAAACGTCGAAGGAATGCGGGCAACTCGAATAACTCGACACTTACACCCTGCTCACCACCACTTGGCACACGCTTCATCGAACCTTGGGACGGCTCTCTGTCGCAGCAAGCTCTGCTCTGGTCGAAACGATGGCCCGACGACTGTCACAGAAGAGAAAGTCGCGGTAGCAAAGAAGATTTGTCCAAGGCGTCCATGTATTACGCTTACGCTGTCTATGAATTCAACACGTCGTGTGTGGCCGTTACAAACGATGCTACCGAAATGCCCTCCAATCCCATCTACCGTACGCCACCAATGGTCGTTAACTTTGCTCATTTTCCGGCGCAATTGCGACATTCTACCCAAGGTATCCAAACGCCGTCGTCAGTTACTTTTCCTCTCGGTCGTCAATCCTTCGAAAACCTTCTAGTCTGTCCAGTCGATGATCTCCCAGCTTTTTGCGCCCTCGTGGATCACCAATCGGTGCCGATCAATCCGCCAGAATGAGTACATGGACGCAGTCGCACGACTTGCTTTGCGGTGAGCAGGGCCATGGCCAGCCTTGACGGCGTCAGGTCTGGACCTCCAAACGCAAGTTGCGAGGTTTCGCCCTTCCGCATCAGGGCTCCCGAACCAGTATCTGCATGCGGTTAGTCGAATTCTTCTTGATTGTAACTTTCTTCATACTTCAAGAAACCCCCAACTTGGTTGGCCTCAGCGTGGGCTGCTTTGTCCAGAACTCCGAGGTCGCCATAGACTGTTGTAGGTGGAATTTGCGAGCGGAACGCCACAATGTAGAAGGAAGTCTCCTTGTACGATTTGCCCGTTGTCTGGACGAGGGTTTTGAGTTCGCGCATGACGTCTCCCCAGTTGAAAGATTCGACATAGTCGGCCGTGGCGTAGTCTGCGCGGAGGCATTCCAAGTGAGACAAGGCTCTGGCAAGAAGGGCGTTCTCATTGTCGAGGGTCTCGAGGTCCAGCAAGTGCTCCGGGTCTGTGTATGGCGAGTGGACAATGAATCTGTCGTTGTCGTTGACGTCGACTTCGGCGACGTTGACCACTGCGTTTTCCTTGGTTTGCGGTGCAAGAGGGTCTGTTACCCTGAGGGACGTAACAGCAGCCATTGTGGTTGTGATCTGAGGATGAGCTGAAAGTGTGAATGCCCAAGGCCGGTTAATCCCAAAAGATGTGCTTGTTGGTGATGACTCTGGAAAACCGTCAGGTCAGAAGTGATGCTGCTTGAACAGAAATCCAAGGGCTCTAGGGTATCTTCAAACAAGATGAGCACGAGCAATAACGAAACAACAAGAGGGTTGAGGATTTCAGAGGTGTGGAAATCTGAGAGCGCCTCAACATATAAGAGGATTCCGGAGTCGGGAGTCAGGTACGTCTCGGCAGGGACATCGAGGAAACGTCTTTTGGACACGGGATTGCCTAACCCAAGCCTGGTGGGTCGAGGACTACACCATCGAGCGACTCGGAACGAGTCAAGAACAGCTGACCAACCATCAAAGAAGCGGTGTTCATCCCTCAACCATGTTTGGGAGTCCCCTTCGCATAGCATTTTGCGGCGCGCCGGGCTATGGATCATCTCAAAAAAATTTCGCGGCCGCTTGCATGGACGATCGTAGTGCACAGCGATGGCGAAAGAGCGCCAGTCCAAGATTGCGCAATCGCGCGTGGTTCTGATGCCAGAGACGCAATTTCGCGACCTGGACGTGCCGCTATGCAGTCTGCAGTCCGCCATGGATTTGACTTTCAGCCTTTTTTCGTTATTGGAGAACTACGTTCCACGGACGGGTTGCCAGGACTGTTGGGCGCTGGCCGAATAGCCAAAGCAAGCTGCAGGGAACGCCGAGACCACGGCAAGCAAACGTTGAGTTGGCAAAAGGGACCAACAAAGATACCGGACGAAAGGCCGCGAGTTACCGCTCGAACCAGACAGACTTCGCATCAATTTAGGGCGAGAATTCGATGGTCGGAACTGGTCCCCCGCATTCTTCAGAGGCTACGCCGAGCCATGACCGACCGAAACGTCTAGCCGTGCCACTAACACAACGGTCGCGGATATGGGAAGATCACTGGCACAAGAAACGTGGATTTACAGCACAGGACAGAGATAATGCAGAGCACTCAAGGTGGATGTGCCGTCTCCATTTGTCGATGCCGCCTCGCATCTATTACATGCTGCAGGTTTGCGGTCCCTCTCCCGCCAGGCTGGAGAGTCTCAATTGGTCAGGGTATTTCACCCGGATGACTGGCCTGGGCTACCCCGGGTCCTCCATCCCGTACCCCTGACCGTTGCCACAGATCTTGCGTCTCCGCAGGGCAGGGCAGGGCGGTCTCGGTCTCGACACTGATGTCGGGTCCTGCTGGGGACGTGGACGGGACACACACCGGTCATGATCCACCCCAAAACCCTGCCGCAGCATGATGCCAGACCGTGTTTCGGACCTCTGCTTCCTCTCTCTTTTCCTCTTGCCTCCGACTGATAATGCAGACAGGAACTCTCGACTCACCTTCGGAAGCCACCCTCCATCCCATCTGCCTTTGTTCTATATCTGTACATAACCTACAGCGCACCAACGACACTGAGCCGTCACCGCCTCTTCCACGATGCACCTTGGTGTCCAATGCAACCCCTATCGCCCGTCACAGCCCTCCAACGACTTCCGATTCGTCTTTCCCGCGAGTGAGCCAGACCTTTGACATCTCGTACGTTCCCAGATAAAGCCCGCTGCCTAGCGCCGTCCAGCCGGCTCGCAACAGCCCTCCACGGAAGAGCCCGCGCACGCCGTGCTGCCGGTAGACGTCGCGCGTCACCTCCAAGCTCCCACGGGTTTTCTCTGCCGGCGCTGATTTGCCTGATTGCTGCGACGAACCATTGCCGCCCTCGCCGGCGCTCAACATCATCCGCGTCTTGACAACATCGCTCGGCGTCGTAATCCATGCCGCGAACGCCCCAGCCGCACCTGCACTCGTGCCCGTCACCACCGCCGTCTCGATAAGGCCCTGCTCCTCGCTGGCCGCCGGCCCTTTGGCCCTCGACTCCCAGACGGACGTTCTCACGTGCTCAAAGATAGGGAACTGTATCGCCGTGAAGGGGAGATTGCGCGCGACCAACGCCGTGTAACCCGAAAACAGCCGTCTCTGGGCCCCGGAACGTGTGACTTGTCGCAATGCCTCGAGGGACGTTGACTTGCGGCTGCCGCTGCTCCCGCTCCCATTGGCGGGATTTCCAGGGTCCTGTCGTCGCAGCATTTGGGCGTTCTGCTTGATGACTTCGGCCGGTGCAAGGACCAAGCATGATCCCATCTCCGCAACGGCCGAGGCCGAGGCGTGGACAATGGGTTGCGGGACTGAAACCGTGCTGGAAATGGTCTTTTTCATGCTCTCGTATGTCGCAAAGAAGATGCCAGCTTTGGTTTCCACACGTGATTAGCCGGGTTGCTCCAATCAAGAATATGCCAATTAAGGGGTTAAATGTCGTCTGCGTGGACTCACCGGCCGGCAGGGTTGCGAGGACTACACTTCCGATGCCTTGGTAGAGGCCGCGGAACAGCGGCGTCTTGCTTCCTGGTGAAGATGCATAGGTCTTAACAAAGTCTTGGCTTTGGTACCGGGTCTTGAGCGTGTCAAGAGGGTAGACCAAGCAGTCGACAGTGAAGGCTGCGGCAGCGCCCGCCTAGGGTTGCTCTGTGAGTACGGATATCTTGCAGGCATTCACACGCTACGTATGGACATTCTCCAAGGGCAAGAACTTTTATGCACTTACAGCGTAAATCTCGTACATGTTGCTCAATAAACTTGATTGCTCATCGTCAGTGGAGGATCTCTAAGCAATGATGGGCTTGCTTCTGTCGAATTGGATGCTGTGGCTTCTGTTTTGCGGTTCTTGTGCATTCTGGTCCCTCGATTTTGGAATGATGACCTCATCGGCACCCAGCACTTGGGAAACGTCACTACAGGGTCCCGATGTACTTACTCCACAAATTTAATGACTGCTCACTCACTCATGGATATAGTTTTACTGACTTTCTTCAACCTCATGCCGCTTCATTGGCGCATTGATAACGAGGTTATTCGTACTTCAGTATCCAAAATCTAATCATTTCCACCATCAGTCAACTCTCACAGGAAACCGGGTCTCGCTTTCGTCAGACTTGGTCAAGTGGCCTTGTTCACACCGCATACAGGGCAAGTCGTTTTCAACATCAGTACGAACAAGTCTGAAAAGACCCAAGTTTTGACCATTTTCCGTCCCATTCCGGCGAACGGTGCATCTGAAGCGGCTACAAGCTTCGGTATAAGTTGTGGGTGTATGAGTGAGGAATTGACTTCGTGATTCACTATGTTCAGCTGAGGAGGAGCCCAGCGCCCTGGACCCGACAGGGGGTCTGTGCTGTGGCTGAGAACCCCGCGACTCGCGCTGCGATTGCTTATCGCGATAAGAAAAAAAAATCGGAGGGGCATGGCGGGGTGATTCACACTCGCGACGACAACTTCACCCTCGCTGTTGTGCGGAAGTTGCTTCATCCACAAGGCATCCATCGTCTCCGCTTTAGACAGCCCTTCAAGCCTCTTTTGCGACATCATTTCTACTCCAAGATGGGTGACATTCTCGAACAGGCGGCGCCGCCGCACAGTCTTTTCGACACGATCCTGGTTCTCGACTTTGGAAGTCAGACCAGTCATTTGAGTACGGCTTCACTCGCCCCGAAATGTTCGAATTTCTGACTGAGCCTCTGCAGTCCTTCGTCGTCTCCGAAGCTTCAACGTCTACGCGGAGATGCTCCCCTGCAACACGAAGCTTGCCGACTTGCCTTTTAAGCCTGTCGGAATCATTTTTTCGGGCGGACCGGCTTCCGTAAAGTTCACGGACTTCTTTATCGCTGTTAACAAACTAACTGCATCAGGTTTACGACGAAGGCAGCCCGCACGTTGATCCCGCTGTCTTCGACCTCGGAGTCCCCATCCTCGGAATCTGCTACGGATGCCAGGAGATTGCCTGGATCAGCAACCCTGAGAATGTCAAGCGCGGAGATGTCAGAGAGTACGGTCTTGGAAGTGAGTAAATCTGTCGATTATTCTGTGATTATGAAACGGACATCCTAACTTTGAAAAGCTCTCAACATCCAGAAGGTCGGCGGCGCCAACCATATCGATCTTCTTCTCTCCGACCTGGGCGGAGACACCACTGAAGGTGAGCATTATGGTATGATACGGTGCTCATATACTTACACATTGTAGTGATCAACTCTCACTTTGACAAGCTTGTCAAGCTTCCCGAAGGATTCGTCACAATCGGAACTACGCGCAACAGCCCCTACGCCGCCATTGCCCACCAGACCAAGAAGATCTTTGGTGATTACCCCCTTGGCCGCCATGGGCACGTCAATTGATGCGTCACGCGACATCATTCAGGCTCACCCATCTGTATGCTCCCCTTTACTAACAGGTTACTAGGACTTCAGTTTCATCCCGAAATCAGCCACTCCGTCCGTGGAACTGATATCCTCAAGAACTATGCTGTAAAGATCTGTGGCGCTCGTCCTGATTGGAAGATGGCGGAGTTCAAGGAAACTGAGATTGCCCGAATTCGCAAGCTGGTTGGGGACCGCGCCCAGGTCATCGGTGCCGTGTCCGGCGGCGTTGACTCCACTGTCGCTGCCCGTTTGATGACGGAGGCCATCGGCGACCGTTTCCACGCCATTCTCGTCGACAACGGTGTCATGAGACTGAACGAGTGCACCGAGGTTAAGGCGACGCTGAAGGAGCACCTCGGAATCAACCTGACCGTTGTGGACGGAGCTGATCTGTTCTTGGGCCGACTCAAGGGTGTTACTGAGCCCGAGAGGAAGCGAAAGGTATGTTTCAATGTCTACGTTATCATGTTGATACCATTGACTAACTTGAGAAGATTATCGGAGGCGAGTCTTTATCGTGAAAGAACTCGCGACATTTCAGAACTAACAACCTCAACAGAGACCTTCATCGACCTCTTCGAGAAGGAGGCCATCAGAATTGAGGAGGAGGCGAAGCACACCGAGAACGCTGGGCCTGTCAAGTGGTTCCTTCAGGGGTAAGTAAGCATCATTCACGTTGAGATACCGTCGGCTAACTTTGTACAGCACCCTGTATACCGACGTTATTGAAAGTCTTAGCTTCAGAGGCCCATCTCATACCATCAAGAGCCATCAGTATGTTCCCGATCAAAATGACCAATAATGAGCAGTAACTAACGACTTACCCCAGCAATGTCGGCGGTCTGCCAAAGCGCATGACTGAGGGGGTACGCTCAACGAACATTATGACTCAAGTCACTTGATTCGTGGTGCTGATTGTGGTATAGCAAGGACTTCAGCTCCTGGAGCCGCTCAGAGAGATGGTAATTCTCTTGAATCCAGACAAGGCTTCGCAGAAGCAAGGCCGTCTGCAAACATCATGCTGATTTTTGTATAGTTCAAAGATGAGGTCCGCGCCATTGGTCAAAGTCTAGGCATCCACCGCGACTTGGTAATGAGGCATCCTTTCCCTGGACCGGGTTTGGCCATCCGAGTCTTGGGCGAAGTCACGCCCGAGCGCGTAGAGATCTGCAGGAAGTTCGTCATCTCCTTTCTCGCTTCAATTAAGATCGTGGCTCACAAACAATAGGGCCGATCATATCTTCATTTCCATGATCAAGGAAGCTGGCGTTTACGACTCCATGTCTCAAGCTTATGCCGCCGTGGATTCGACCAAGAGTGTGGGAGTGCAAGGTAGGAGTATTGGCCACCAAGACGGATGTTACAGACACTGACATCAAACTACCATCAGGCGACGCCAGAGTCTATGGCTACATCGTCATTCTACGAGGTATTTCTTCCAAACATCTCAACTTAATCTTTGAGGCTAACAGGCCGCAGCCGTTTGCTCCGACGACTTCATGAGCGCGGAGCCCTACGAGTTCGACTGGAAGTTGCTTCGTGAGATTTCCAGGCGCATCGTCAACGAGGTCGACGGCGTTTCCAGAGTGACCTACGACACTACCTCCAAGCCTCCTGGTAAGTGGTCTTCTTGGACCTCTCGTTCCAGCTGAACTAACAGTGAATAGGCACTATCGAGATGGAGTAAGGAGTTCGTTCAACAGGTTTGATATCATCTAGACAAAAAATATTTCAACTGCAATAGATTCCATGAGCTTCATGCGGCGTCTGATGTTGGTCGGGTGCACGGGCCAGTTTTGACCAAGGGTGCGGTACCGATCAGCAAATCTTTCCCAACAGCTCAACGTTCTTTTTCCATCTCACTTCATCACCCGGTTGTTCAATCATCGTGATTCCATCAGCGTCTGATTTCCCCCGAGTTCCGAATGCCCCTGGCAGCCTGACACGTCAGGACAAGCAACATTTGGAGAGCGAACGGTACTGGAAGACGACTCAATGAGGCACACGCCCACCACCAGCACAGATGCACTCACTGGCCGGCCTCAATTTAACCCCAGACGATCGGAACTCCTCGTTTTCAATTAGGGCGAGTTATGAAGCTCCTGCTCGAAGCTTATGCTCGTATCTACATCATCTTCGCAGACCTACTACATGTCAAGTGTCATTTAGAGTCTGAAGAGTTTGCCAATACCCTTGGCGACGTCGCGAAAGCTTCGGAAGCTCCTCTTCGATGCATCAAGTGATCGGCCGAGGGAAGCATGCCAGCACCAGTCAATACGGAAGACACTTGCATCGCCGGCTGCGGCTTTCGCTACAGCGGACCGGGACCGCTGTCAGATTCGGTATTGCAGATCTATCCGCGCGGTTCAACACTATGCAGTGCCACCGCCTTGACACTTCATCCAGGTTTCAAGCCACCCTCTGTCAGAGGGGAGATCTTCGCGACCGAACGAGTCCGTCGAATGTTATTTCTCAAAACACGTTCATGGTTACACGAAACGTGCCCCAGCTTAATTGTTTACCATGTGGTTTTCCCTCGAGGTTTTGATGCAGGTTGAGGCGAGTGCAACATGATTCAGGCTGGGCGATAGTCTATCAAACTCGGCCGCCCAGCCTGTCGGCTCGGGTTGCGAAAGATGGAAATTTGCCAAGCTGGTTTTCCACGAAAGCTTCTAGATCAGCGCCTCCGTGTCTCTGTACGATGTTACGTCCTCGTGGTCTCCGGACGGTTGCCGCAGACCTCCTGTCCCAGAACACATGGTCGTCGAATATTCTATCCGAAGCTTCCGTTGCACTCAGATCACTAGTTTGACGACACAACTGTCAATGAAATCACGAGGAGGCTCCGAAGGCAATTGAGGCTTCGTTGAATGCAACGATGGCGCCGGCTTCCACGCGAGTTGCGTGCGCAAGAAGTCTCCGCCGGGAGATGGCAATGAGTTAGGCCGTATGACAAGAGTCACGGACAAGACTTGGGGGCAACCAGATCATCGCATTCCATCCCACATTCGACGCTTCCCTTGTGTTCAACCGCCACTGGTCGATCAAATTAGCTCAGTTGATGCAGCTGAACGTGGCCTAGATATTACACACACATATCGTCGACCTGCCCAATTACGACAATGTGCAGACGCTCCGAAGCTCAGCTGAAGTCAGCCAAGGTCGCAGTTGTTAGCTAATTGAATTACTCGCTTTCATCCTCCACGCGATGTTCCAGTTGCCAGAGGCGTTTTGTAAGTCAGAGCCTCGCAGGAGCGGTTCTTGGCTGACAAAATGCACCCTCGTAGCGTTGCCTTGGGGTCGGTTTTTTGTCAGCGAAATAACGCCTCTGTGAAGTGTTCGGGCGCTGGCCGTGCATAACGGGAGTGAGAGGAACTCAGCCTCGACAGGTCGGTCAGCCAGCCATTGGCATCGGTCCCGAAGGACCCCCAAAAAGATGCATCGCGCAGCAGCGCTAAGACTCTTCCCCCGCGTCATCCCCCACTCTAAAGCCCATGTTGATACTCTTGAGGATTCGTGATGGAGGGGTACGGCCCATGGCGGTGGCTTTGGGAAACATCTCTTACTGGATGGGGCTGACAGCATTTCGAACATGCCCCTTGCAGTTCTTCAGCCATTCAGCAGCACTCTCGCACCGGTTGCCTGAGACAGTTCGTGCTACCCAATCTAAAAGCCATCGCTGGATGTGCTACTCTGAGCACGAGGTTGATTGATGTGCAATAGTTTTGGGATGGAAAGGGGGCCGGTGGCTTAGGACAGAACCGGTGTGTCCAATATCAGACGGTGATGTCGGCCGAAACTGGAAGTCATGGCAGGCCAGGCAACCAAACATTTGACCGTCCGAAATTTCAGCTTGGTATTATTAGTTGCATCTTGTTTCCCGTATAAAGTTGAGCTTCATCCCCTCTTTTTGTTTTGTTCAGTCCGGATCATCAAGAGAGCTTCATCGGCATTCACACAACTTAGTCATTCGCTTGATGTCGCCATCGCCAATTTTCACCGAGAGATCCACTCTGACTAGCCCCAGCAATCAAACAACTCTTTGTACTCACTCTCTTATGCATTGAGTTGCATTCTCGATCTACCCTTGAAAATCCGGGGAAAATAAGCAGTCGACGTTCCTGTCGGTCTCGTCCCGCCCCCCACATCTGATCGATCACATCACACAAGGCAGATATGGCATGTCCTTTTCTGCAGAGCACCCTCGCGGTGCCGCCCCGGCCGATCTCGGTCGAGCAAGAGTTCGCCAACATCCGCGAACAATACCCTTCATTGGCTTCGACAGGATGCACGCCAAAATTTTGCCAGTCGGGTCGCATGACGCATATGGACGAGGATCGTGTTGGCCGAAATCAGTCTTATGCCCAAGTCCGCGAAGATGCCCTCGACTTCCTGCAGCAGATGTACAAGGATGGGCTCCTGACGATGGAGCAACTCCACCACCGCGCACATGAAGTTCTTCAGGAGATTCAGAAGAACTCAACGGAGGGCAGGTTCACATTCGCGTCTTGCGGACCAGAAGCACCACCCACAACGACAGATGGTCTTGTTGGCGGTCTTTGGACGCAGACATTCGAAGAGCTCGAGTTTGGTCTTCGTACGGCATGGAAGCACGCACGAAAGTGCATCATGAGGTCCGAATACAGAAACCTGAGGTACGTGTAATCCCATCTGAATTATCTGGGCTCCTTACTGACTTTTGAAGGCTGTGTGACTTGAGGCATGTCAGGACGAGCAAGAAGATGGCCGAGACTTTGATTGAGAATCTCAAAGTTGCCTACAACTCTGGCGAAATCAACCCTACAGGTATTTTGTTTGTTATCCCTGTCAATCAACTTGGCTGACTCAATTTAGTCTTCGTCTTTCCTCCGAGGGATATTAACAGCCGTGGTCCGATGATCTGGAATTCCCAACTGCTGTCATTTGCAGGAGTGAGTTCTTGTTTTCACCTTGACCCCTCACTTACACCACTAACACCGTTTAGTATCAACAATCCAATGGTGAAATCCTTGGAGACCCCGCCAACATCGAGTTGACGAACGCCATCATCGAATTGGGCTGGACACCGCCGCGATTCCGCTCACAATGGGATCTCCTCCCTCTCGTTACCATGGCCGAAGGCCAAGAACCCGTCATCACCGAGCTGCCCAAGGACGCTTTCCCGCTGGTGCAGATCCGCCATCCAAAGCATCCCGGGCTCGAGACTCTTGGCCTGCGTTGGGTTCCCGCGCCAGCACTGAGCCGTCTTGGCTTCAGCATTGGCGGCGTTCAGTATACCGCAGCGCCCTTCATCGGGTGGTGAGTTGGCCTTGCTTCGCCTCAATGACGTGCCTAACCAGCCTACAGGTTCATGGATGCCGAGATTGGCGTTCGTAACCTCGCAGATTCTTTCCGCTACAACGCACTTCCCCAGATCGCCAAGGCGATTGGCTTGGTCGATGGGGATGTTGACGACTTGCCAGACTATGAACGTCTAGCTGTCTTGGTAAGTTCTCTTCTGCAACTCTCGGGAACCATGCTTACAATATCATGCAGTCCCGCGCGCAGCTCGAGCTCAACTACGCCACGTACTGGTCCTTCGCTCAGGCAGGCGTCAGGATGTCAGATTCTCTCGGCGCAGCAGAGCAATTCACCCAATTCGACGACGAGCACCTCATGAACAACGGCTTCCGCCTCCCCTCAGACCCGTACTGGCTCGCTCCTCCGCAAGGCTCCATCATTCCTCTCTGGCACCGCGGCGGTTCCCCAAACTACCAGCCAAAGCCGCTCATCTGCCGCCACGCCCAGGATCCCATCAAGGCCTGGCGCCGGGAGCGACAAGCCCCTCGCACACGGCCGCATCTCGCCTCGGACACGAAGCTCAACATCTCAATCCCGGTGCCGTCGATTTCCCTCACGCGACCAGTAACGCCAGTATCCCCCTTCGGCACCGCGTTCCTACCCGTGCCCCCTCCTGTCAGACCCCTAACGCCCCTGACACCGTTGTCTCCTCGAGGGCTCGGGCGCAGGATCTACATCGGATTCTGCAGCTCGGGCAACGTCGCGATCAAGCTGTGTAAGAGGCTGTGCGCGCAGCTGCAGCACGCGTGCGAGGTCAACCCCAAGCTAGGCACCGTCGTGCCACCGTGCACACTCAACGCCTTGCCCATCTCTATGATCGAGTCTGATGACGTATTGGTCATCGTCGCCAGCACGACTGGCCGAGGAGAGATTCCCCAGAATGGCAAGGCATTTGCAGATGCACTCGCGAGGAACAAGGGGTTGTCGTGTCGGTATGCCATCTTTGCGAATGGCTCGCTGGAGTACCCGGACACGTACAACCAGGCAGCCATGGACCTTGAGGAGTTGCTGAGCAAGGGCGACGCTCAGCGGCTCATCGGTATGCGTGAGGCCGACACCGGGGCTGAGAACCCGCCCTGGTCGATTCTTGGGCAGTTCTTCGATCAGTGCCTTGCCGCGCTGCAGAAGGCTAGCCCGGAGGATCCGGAAGAAAGCTCTTTACAGCGAGTTACCCGACCTGCCCGGCCGTTTGACACTAGGCCGTGGTTTCAAGCCAAGGTCGTGGGCCAACCCGTTACGGGGGCTGCAGCGGATGGCATGAAGAGGGTCACCCTTGACTTGGGCGATCGCGAATACCCTACCATGGGTAGTCTTTGGATCCTTCCTCCCAACTGCAAGACCAAAGTCTCTCGTGTTCTCGAAGCCCTAGGTCTTCGGTCTGATGAAATCTTGACTCTCCCCGGCGAGCCTACGGTCGGGGATTACCTGCAGCGCTTCGCAGACTTGGAACAGCCTTTCAAGTCCGCGGCGTGGGCGGAAGGTCTTTCCATCACGGGCCTGGAGAGCTTGACAAAGCTTCCGATCGAAGATGCTGTTCACCTTATTCCTTCATATTGGAGGCAGACGGTGACTCTTGACGCCCTTTGCAGTGCAATGCCCACAATCCAGCCGAGGGAGTACTCGATCGCCTCCGACGGATCGCGAACCAAGTGTGCAGAGGGCAACACTCTTGATCTCCTCGTGCAGCACCATGCCGACGGAAGATTCTCCGACCGGTACCTCAACTGCTTCGAGGCCTTCGGAGCCGTGACCTGCAAGATTCGCCCTTCAGCTCACCTGGAAGAAATTGCGCGCAACCAAGATGTGCCAACCATTATCTTCACCACCGGATCCGGGATGGCGCCAGTGAGGGGCCTCCTACAGAACCGTCTGCAGCGGTTGCAATCCTCGCCCGCGCTGAAGAGCCCTACCATCAGTCTCTTCGCGGGCTTCAAAGCCTCCGATGAGACTCTCGTACGTGAGGCGGTGCAAGAAGCCGATGAAGAGGGGCTTTTCGACGTACTGAGACTGACTGGAAGTAACAAGGGAAAGAAGAGAGCTCAAGATGCGATGCTTGAGCCGGGTGTGCGGGAGCAACTGAAGAAGAGTGTCGAGAACGGGGCGTTGGTGTTTGCGTGCGCGCGACCGAAAGCTGTTGATGATTTCTTGGGTAACTTGAGCGAGGTGTTGGGGCGCGATGCTAGGGAGGCGCTGGGGGATCGGTTCGTTGCTGATGTTTATCAGCCTGCTATTTGAGGCATTACTCTTTCTCTTGTTTGCATCATAGACTTTGGCCTAGGGGCCTTATAGACCAAGCGAGGAGTTGGAGGATTTCTGTCGTCATTTCTTAGGCCGGAGAAAAGTTGCAACAATATGTTCATCGTACAATTATTTTTTTTACTCAAAACCGTTCGCGCAACATACTGCTGCTTGACCAAGTAAACATGTGCATCTGATAATGCGCTAGGTGATTGGCATTGTTGATAAAATTCACGAAATGCAATTGTCTCAATCCCAAAGTGAAGTACGCCTTTATGACAATTCATTATTGTTGTACATCATGATCATAATAATCATACAATGCCCGACTCGCTATTCTTCCATTCCAATTCCCTCCAATTTTACCTGGGGTTCTCAGCCTCAGCAGAGGCCTGCGTTACGCTCTCGGGAGCAATGTTGCCCTCTGCAGAGATGCTGTCTGGGACAGACTCGGGGGTGTAGTAATCCGAGCCGGGGAACTTGTTGCCGCCGACGCCAGGGGGCTTAGTGCCGACGTTGTTTCTCACGGCACCCTCGCCTTGGAGAAGGACGTCGTTCTTCTGGTCCTGGGTTCCAAGCGAGGAGATCTTCTTGGCCGGTACGACGTCGTCGTCGTTCACGGCTGGGTCCTTTGCGGGCTGCTCAGGCTTGTAGGAGACATTGTTGGTAGGATCGCCCTGGACGCTGACGGAGGCGCCGGGGAACTTGCGCTCTGCGACGGAAGAAACGCCGGCATCGTCGTTGCCCGTGGGGCGGGCGGCTCCGGTCTTGGACTGGTAGGTGTTGAGGTCGAGCTGAGCCTGGGCGGCAATCTCGTTAAGCTGGTCCTTGGAGGGCGCCATTGTGTGTGTTGGTGTGTATGAAATGGTGTAAACGATGTAAAGGTGGTATAAGTGGTTCGGGTGGACGAATAGGGATATCCTGCAATATTGTTTGAGAAGGTTGATGAAATGGTTGATTTAATGATGAGAGGCAGAAGCAGTTTCTTTCTGCTTGGAAGGTTCAACTTATGTAGTTGTTGATGAGGCTCGCCATCTGAACTCTGCTAGTCGACGTCATCTCGATGATTGTCGCTGGTGATATCACTACCCGCCATTTTGTGGCCCTGAGGTGGGGAGGACTTATCTCATCGACACTGATCGAACGGGCCCGACGCCGCTTGGCCGCCACAGGACCCCCAAAACCCTCCGAGCGGCCATGATAAAACATACCTTTGACGTAGGAGTGATATCAGTTGTCCCTGAGAGAATGGCACCCGATCGGCCTGGCTGGTTTTCATCGGGCGGCTAGGCTCGGTGAGCGGCCGGGGCCGTGAGTGCTCCGTGTGTTCGGTCAATCGCCCGGTCGCTAGCAACTTGTTCAGCGGGTCAGCGGTCTGGAACGTCGCCGCATCTTGGATGCGCACGCGACCGGCACAGTCATCTTTAATATTCGGTAGTAATGAATCTCAGGTAATAGTGTTGACGGAACAAGGTATCATTTGACTCTGCATTACAGTCCTGAGGCCCAAACAGCCGCAGCTCATGCTTTTGAAATATCCCGACACAGCGCACCGATATAATTGTGAAGATGCACGCTGTTGTGGTAGAAAAAAAACATGAGCAACCAAGTCGTAATCCTGCAAGTCTCGTCTCGGGCATGAAGATACTGAAGCACAAAACCCCTCCATTTCATCATCGACAGTTTGCTCCTAATAGCTGCCGGTCTCTCTGGTTATTTGATAGAAGTGCTGCGCTTAGCCGTCGGTGCCGCTGCTGCGGAAAGTAGCGCAAAGAGCAGCGTAGTGATGCGTGAGATCGAGGACGTTCTGTGGCAGACTGGTAGCCTGGATGATGCTCCTGACCTTGACGGCACCCTCGTCCTCGATGAGTGTCCGGATAGTATGGAGAAGCTCGGGAGAAAACTCCGAGTACCACCTGTATTGCCAGGTCACGAGACGAATCACAGACGCTACGGTCTCGCGAGTGTTCTTGTTCTGCTCAAAGACCCGTAGGATGCCGGTCAAGGCCTTGGGGCTGAACCTGGATGCGAGACAAGCTCTGTACGCCTCCACGGCCTCATCCGTGTGTTGAAGTCTCTCGGCAAGAGAACCGAGAATCTCCCATTCCTCGGCCGACTTCTTGTATTGCATGGACTGGGCGCGGTACTGAGCCATCTGCGTGCGCCAAATGGTGTAGACGCGCAGGTCCTCATACAACACCATGAAGAGGCTGTCTAGCCAACGCTCGCACAACCGCTTGTTGTTCAGCTTGGACAGGTGGTCATCACTTTGAGCGCCCTGTGATTCTGTTAGCAATGCCTATTGAAAGTTTGGTTCTAGCACTTACGTTTTCGGCGTCGCCCTTCAACTCGCCAGGATCTATCGCATGGCTGGGCTTCTCAACCGCCTCACCCTCCGACTGTCCATTCGTCGCTAAAGTCTCAGCAGTCGACTCGGTGTCTGCCGGCTTCGCCTCATCTTCCTCTTCCTTTTCCTCCTTCTCGTCATCCTCGTCCGAGTCCGATTCGGACTGATCGCCGTTCGTTGTCGGGTCTGGGGTACCCCGAAGCCCATCGGTACTCGGGTTGCGAGGCGGCTGCGGCTCGTGCTTCTCTGAGCGGTACTCATCCTCCATAACGAAGACAGTGCTCCGAATCTTCAGTAGTTGATCCCATCCAATCTTCGCCGTCATCTCCGTCAAAATGCTGTAGGCCTGCTTGAAGGTACCCTTGTACACAGCAGCGCGCAGGTTCAGTAGGCTAGCATCAACCTGCTCTGAGTACCTGGATTCGGGTTCGCTATCGATCTCATCAAGACGAGTTTCCGGCAGAGTCGGCAAATGAACGTCCTTAGGCTCAGGCATCTGTGGCGCATCCTTGTCCTGGTACGTGAACATGGGACAGGAGTTGAGAATCGTCAGGGCATTCTCCCAGTCCTCCATGGCAACATAAACCTGTGCCAATCTTGCCCAAGTGCCAAACTCGCTAGGTGCGGCAATGGTGCTGCGATCAGCACACCCAAGAGCCAAACGAAGTCTTTCCTCCTTTTGCTCAGGGGATGCGGCAGTCTGCGCCTTCTTGAGCAGGAATTCGGCTTGGGTGTCGAGCATCACATAGTCCATCGGAGATTCCTTGAGAGCCTGGTGGAGTACGCGAACGCCCTCAACCTCCTCATTGCCCATGAACAAAACCTTGGACAACAGAGAGGAAACCTCGATGTTCTGGTCTCTCAGCTTCTCGAAGAGATTGATGCCCGAGGCGTACCGGCCGGTGGTCTGGAAGTACTTGAGAAGGCCAGCGGTCAGATGGTTGGAGACATTGTTCGGCACTTGAACAACAGAGTCGGAACCCAGCTGCCAACCTGGAGTAGAATCAGTATCGGAGCTATTCAAGAGACAAGACCTTTCATACCTCGGAAGAAAAGCTGCTCGGCGGCATTGAGGAAACGGTGTTCGGTTTCGGTATTGGTGACGGGGTTGAACCTGCGTACACCCATAATCTTTCGAATGGTTTCTCCGCTTCCATCGTCGGCGTAGGAGTAAGCTCGGAGAACACTGCAGAGATATGTCTCTAGCCACAGGTCGTCCGTCGCCTTGCGCTTCTCGCCCCGCTCGTCCACGCAGTAGCTCTCGACAGTACCGGGTATCGTGACGTGGACGCGCATGTCCAGTCGTGAGAAGGCATTGTAGCAGCTAGCAAACAGATCAGCGTCAAGGGATTCGGGGACGGCGCATAAATTTGTCGTACCAGTAGAGACCTTCAGAGATCTTTGTCTGGGCGGCCTGGCCATGCTCGCGGTAGGTCAGGGTGTTGATGTAGGCGGCAAGACTGGCGGATGAGGAGGCATCGACACCGGTGACATGATGGTAGACTCCGAGCTGGAAGAGAAGCGGTCAGCAATGGACGGGAGCTTGAGGGGGTATCGAGATCGCATACCTGTTTGCCAGGGTTTCTTGTGGCCTGCTTCAACAGATGGACGAGATCAGGGGGGCCAAGCTCGCGCAGGGAGATGAGGGACTCGGTGCGGGCATCAATTGATTCAGACAGAATCTCTTCCGTGAGCCTAGTGACAGCATCAGCATGGGAGACGAGGATGGAAGTCGCAAAGAGCAGTTGACGGACTCTGGCACGGCCGGCGCAACCATTGCGGCGGTGTTGCTGGGTGTCAAGCTTCAGCGGTAGCAGATGGGCTCGAGGCTGTCGTCGACGGGATACGGTGTTAGGAGCTCCGAGGTTCGACTTGAAGCATGCGGTCGCGGTAGAAATGCAGCTTCCTGTGGGAATCGCGGGTTGGAGCAGATGGCTGGGAGTAGAGGGATGGCCGCGAGGGGCTCGCAGTCGCAAACCGAAGTGTGGTCGGTGAGATTGGCGAGGGATAGATAGATGCTTGCCTGGCCTGTCCTGGCCTGGTTTTGGCGTGGGACGGGAGCGTGGCAGAGGCGGGATGGCGAACGAGGGAGTGCGGCGTCAATTGATTGAGGTGCCTGGCTGGGTAAGGTACCTGAGGTAGGTACGGATACTCTGTACTGCGTGACTGCGTAAAGGCAAGGTACAAGCAAAGCACCACCTTTGGGGCAGGTGGTGAGCTTGGACTCTCTTGTGACGGGCGGGAAACCTGCTGCTGCTGCTGCTACTGGCTACCCCCTGGCCTGGCGTTTCTGGTGCTGTCGCCTGTGGGTGATTTGCTGTGCTGATGGGCTGGAACAATATTACTGGATTCGCAGCGGATAGCAGGGAACAATAGCAAGGGCCGTCATTGGATTGAAAGGCGTTGCTGAAGGGGGAGCTGGGTGGGCTGGACGTGGAGCTGCCGCAGCTGGGCCTCGTGAAACCTGGTTTGCCATGTTCCTGGATTGCCAGCTGCCAGCTTGTCCACTTCATTATGTCAGCCACAGGAGGTGGAGCACAGACCACGCGTCCACGCAGTCAGTGAGTGACATGAACGGGACACATCACCGCCTGAGCCTCACTTTGCGTCTGTGGCGCACCAGATTCATGTGGCTGTGGTGTGTGATCCGTCCAGTGTGTGGGACGCCATCATCACCGAATTCACGCCGATCGTCAATGCCCACTTTTACATCTCATTATTGGGTATATTTGCGCAGTCATGGACTGACTCCATGCTGCTGTGAACACAGCAAGTAATGGTCTTGATACTTGCGCAAGGGAGGCCTCACACATTACAATACAGCCAGCTTCCTACCTACCCTTAGTAGATGTAGCGGAAGTTCTTGTTCTCCTGGTCCGTCAAATCATCGAAGCCGTGGGTGGTGTCAATCTCAGCACCGTACTTCCTGTCCTTCTTCTTGTTGCGCCAGACCAGGTTCCAGCGAAGGAACACAATGACGCCAACCAGGACGGAGTAGCAGACGAGGTGAATCGTCAGCGCCTTGATGTAGCGGGGCGCGTCACCGTCGAAGAAGACCTGCGGGCCCGCAGCGTTACCCGCGCACCAAGCCAAGAAGTTCAGCGTAATGCAGACAGACTTCTTGGTCTGCCCTCCGACGTTTCGCGTCAGCATGGACATGCCGAGACCCTGCGCAGCCCAGAAAGTGAAGACGATCCAGTAGCTGATCAGGAGACCAGCCTTGGTAGACTCGTTCTTGTTCGGCACAGTCATGATAACAATCGTACCAATGAACGATCTAGGTAGAAAGAGTCAGCTGAGTTTCTCTGCCGTGGAAAGGTGCGCAACTCACGGGATTAGGAAGACGGCCATGGTGATCAGATTCTGGTTCCATTTCTTGGTTGCCCAAGCCGAGGTCATCAGTGTGAAGATGATGATAGCACCCAGAACCATGGCCAGAAGCTGGGTCTGGAGAAGCGAGAAGTTCAAGCCCTTGAGGATAATGTTGTAGAAGGCGCCGAGTCCAGATGTGGGGAGAGTCGTGCAGATCTGGATGAGCATGTAGCAGTACGTCTGAGGGTCGGTGAAAGCCTCCTTGACCTGGTAGGCACGGAACGTCTTGTTCTGCAGACCCGTCTGGTTGGAACGAACACGCTCAACCATGAGCTTCTTGTCCTCTTCCGAGAAGCACTTGGCACGCATGGGGCTGTCGGGCAGAGTCCAAAGGACGTACAGGCCCCAGAGGAAAGACGCGCTGCCATAGGTGATGAAGATTGCTTGCCACGAGCGAATGGCGGCGTTGCCCGGCGGGTTACCGTCCTGGAAGCTGGGATGCCTAATGTGGGAGAAGGCGTAGGCCAACAGACCACCGCAGATCTGCTGCATGCCGTTCATCATGTACCAGTAGGTGACAACCTGGGCCTGCTCCGAGCGCTTGTACCAGATCGAACTCATGATCAGGAAGGCGGGCTGGCAAACAGCCTCGAAAATTCCAAGCAGAGTTCGGCAGGTGATCAGAGCCGGATAGCTGAAGCATGCGGCGTGGCAGCAAAGCACAACACTCCATGCCAGAATGTTGAAGCTGAGGTATTTGGCGACAGGCACACGTTGGATCAACCAGTTGGTCGGGTATTCAACAATCAGAACGGCAATCTTTGCGTGGATTCGTCAGTAACTGGCCGGCTCGACGTGTCTCAAGAAAAGGCTACTCACGTAAATACAGGTGGTCAGCCATCCCCACTGTGAATGAATTCGTCAGTAACTGGCACACATCGGACATATCTAGGACCTGATACTCACGTAGTAGTTTTGCTTGAGGATTGGGATGTCATCACGGATACCCATGATGGAGCTGAAGGACATGGTTCCCTTGTCCAGCGCCTGGAGGAAGTAGGTCACCACCATGATGGGCAGGACGCGTCTGTCGATAAGCCTCTTCAGGCGCTTGTTCTCTTCCTCTGTAATGACAATAGCGCCGGTGGCATCGGCATACTCGGCGATTTCGTTGTCGATACGGTCGTAGTTGACGTGGTCGCCTTTGGCGTCAGCACCAGACAAGGTGCGCTCGACCTGGGTGGCATCTTGACCCTTCTCTTCAGACTGGCGAATGATCTCAGGGGAGGAAGGCTGAACGGCCTCCTGGCTGGCTCTACCCATCTTTGCGAAGCGTCCAAAGGTCTCGCGAAGAAAGAGAGTGACTTGTCGAGGTGAGGGACGGAGGGAGGGAGTCAAGAAAGAGTCACATCGAGGGACAGGCGGAACAGGCGCGACGACTATCTTTAAAGGGTTCTCCTCTCCGCGTGGATGTCGGCCTTCTCCAGACTCCAGATTACCCCGTGTGGCCCCAGAGTTTTCTCACCCCGCGGTCATGTTGGATGCAACGTTGGCGGTGTGGAGATGGCCGTTACCAACTCCGTACATTGTCGGCCCAAAACACCCCGAAGCAGGTTCAAGATGGGCTGAGAATCGTCTTTCCTACAGCAGGCCTGAGGCAAAGATGGTGCCGTCTCTCCCATCACTCGTCGTCGATTCGGCCGCGAATTGATTCACCACGGGTGTGGCGCCAAACAAGCATCGGTGTAATGCAATGCGACATCGGTTGTTCTGCTGTTTTGGGGACCAAGCCTTCGCTCTTTGCAGGCCTCGAGATAACACCAAGACACGCCTAACACCTTGGCGGTCGAGTTCTCTGCCGCTATTCGGGGAAGTGGTGTGCCGACGACGAGGATTATTCCGGAAAGCTGTCTTGGCGCAATTAGTTGACCGGGCGTATTTCCTGTTGGAACTTCGCAGGTTGGGGGGGAAATACTGCAGAGTAAGGTGAAATGACCCCCAGCAACCCATCCCCAGAAGGGGTCACCACACCCTTATGCGGGGTACAGCCAATCACACTTACATCTTATCCATTTTTACCCCAATCACAGTCAGTAGGCTAACTGAATCCAGTTCGTGTCATGTTGCTACCCCACAACACCCAAATCCTTCGGATGGCTCCAGACCAAGCCCTTGGCGGAATCTCGTCAGAACTATCCGGCCACGCAGACAGATGTTCGTCCAGAATATGACCCAAACTTTCGGATGAGCGGGTAGACTGCCTTGGAGAAACATCAGGCTCGCTTCCCATGGTCTTTTTGAATAGAAAACTTGACCATGGCCCCTGGACGATGATTCAGCACATTCGATGGAGTCTGGATAAGGTATGCCTGGTTCCACACACCCCACGATGGTTTTGCGGGGAGAGATGGACCCTCCACAGCGTCCGTCCCATCCTGTCCCGTGGGGAAGAAACCCAACCGTGGGATATACGACGTTGCCATCTATTCATGAACCACGGCGATCTGCGGTCTTATCCCTAGGTTGACGGCTACTGAGGGGTGTGTTTCAACTCCATACCTGTGGTCGTGATGTTGGAGAAGCGCGGGGTATGATTTGGGGGAAGGTCCATCTGACAAGACTTGGCTTGATCACTTGGCTCGATCGTCAAGGACCGCCTCCTCACGTTTGGGGAAGAAGTTGCATCCATAAGAAAAACACAAGAAATGTCTAAGCCCTATTCGAGGTTGTATCATTGGCTTCCCGCCTTGGCGCCTATTTTTCCCTGGCTAAGCTTTAGAGCCGCAAAGTGCTTGGTTGCAGCTGGCCAACAACTGAGTTTTGTCTTGACCACTGCACATTTGATTCTCGAGCGGAACTCTACTCCGAACAGTCTGTAGATTTCGAAGTCGAACAGATCCCCTACGCGGTTCGTAAGATGATAGCGCGGCTTCTATCTCGACCCAGCGCAGGTCATAATGCTGTTCACGACTGTACACCACCCGCGGTGTGTTCGTGATGTCTTGCGAAAGGATATCTCTGGCCGCACGAGATCGAACCAACCATAACACACGTTGCTCTCATGCTATCTTTCGTGTCTCGGTATTGTTCGGCGGCCGGCCTGGACTTTCTCAAGAGACCAGCTGCTGAAATTTAAATTGTTCGTAGCAATTAGAGGACGGAATGACCACAAATTTGTGGTCAAGGCCAAAATCATGCTGGGTCACTTACATTGCAACTTAATTACTTCCGTTTCACGAATTCCTCCTCATACGACCTGATTAATCTAGCTCAGAGCTTTAGATGAAATAAATGAGGAATTTACCTAATTGATATTTAATCAGCAAGACTTATTAAGCACATCCTTGAAGTCCAAAGAAAGGACACTACATGAAGTACATAGTGAGGTTTGCAAAACGCGATCTCAGAATTCTGGTATGTTCTGGCAATGAACGGCAGGTTGCCTCATGAACAAACTTACCTGGGAGTATTACTACTAGCGAACACGGCCAGGTAGTTCAGTTGTTGAGTGCGAGAAACAAGGAATTCAGTTGATATTGCCCGGGGCTTAGTATATGAACACCATCGTTCGATTCCCAACATCGCTACGGCTTAACCTGTTTACTTTTTCTTTTTGGTCAGCTAAAGTGCTGTTGACACTGACAAATAAAAAGCAAAAGCGAGAGCAAAAGCTTTTAGGAGCAGCCCTTAAGACAGGCGATGTCCATTAAGACTAAAATATGGCGAGAGTTTCAAGCTTGATTTTCATGTTTAGTTTAGGCACCCCTTTCTGGGAAAAGTTCATACCGACTTATGGAGGTTGACGATGAATGCCGTCGCTCATTGCCCTAAGCCGCAAAAGCCAAGCTGCTGCATGGGGTTTCAAGACGCATCTCGGAATTCGTTCCCATCTCACACAATGTTTGTAGTTGAAGCCCCAAAATGATGCTACCCCGGCTATACTTTATGTATGAGAGAGCGCCTTTTCGACACCCATAATAGCTTCATACGAGAGTTTCTCGTCAAATGTGGCGCAGTCGGTACTTGCGCCACTTGACATCATGTCCGCCAAATGCTGCGCCACATCTCCAAGCTCCGCGCACGGAGCACCAATTTAACGATCTGCGAAAGTCAGGTCGCGTCAAGCAGCCACGCGCTGGTAGGGATTCCACCAGCGACATGCACCGCGGCACACTTCCATCATCAGCATTGTTTCCCGCCGAGATACCCCTGAATGGCAGTCGCCAGTCCTGATACCGAAAGGGAAGAAGAATATCAGCTTCGGTAATCCAGCTGCTCCCTGGAGCAAATCGTCAAAATGGTTCGTCCATAGGCTATGCGACCGATCGCGACCAGCTAAAGCTAACCAACATGCAGCCGGCTTTTCAGGCAATCAACGTCGAGCCCGAGGAGAACATTGACGATGAAATCGACACTACCCGCGAGCTTCATGTACGTGATGGATGTTCTACAGAGCCACTTGTGCCTTTCTGACTGGGATGCAGGTCGATGAAGCTTTGAAGCGCTTCCAAACAGCTCTCAAGCTCCATGCCCAAGGCCCCCGATTCTTTGACGAAGCCGCCGATGCCTACGATGACCTGTTCAAATCCGAAATATTCAAGTACCCCGAGGCTGCCACCGAATACGACAGAGCAGAGCGACACCCTGACCAGCTCATTACCGATGCCGCCCTTGCTGGCAACTTGGAACTACAGGTTGCCGATGTCGATACAGCCACTAGCAGTCTACCCCAGGCATTTTTCCTCGCACACAAGAACCGCGGCCAGTTTCTTCTCGACAAGACCCGCCATGCAGCCCGCGTCGACGGCGCCACCTGTTTCGAGAAGGATGAGGCCCTCCAGAACATGCGCAGCGCCCTGGCCGATTTCAATGCCGCACTTGATCGCGATCCCTCTGACGCCGAGCTTTGGAGACGCACTGCCCGTGTCGCCGCATCTCTCAAGAGTTCAAGAATAAGCAGGTACTGCCTGGAAGCTGCCATCGAACTCGACGATGATCCGGCCGTTTTGGAGGTCGAGCCGCCATCCCTTGCCGAAGGTTTCGCAGGACAGCAGTTGAAAGACCAGCTGCAAGTCCTGGGCGACGAAATTGCCTTGTCTCATCCGATCATGGGTCCTTGGGTGAAAAGAGAGATGCCCGATTTCATCAAACGTCATCTCGATCCGATCCCCTTTCTGCCGAATCCAATCAAGGACCTCGAGTCTGCGCGCACGACAATCGAGGAAACCGGCAAAACCCGTTTAACAATTACCCTCCCGAATGCATCATGGGTCGACCTCGGAATGGCGCTCATCCACTTCGTCCTGGAGCGAGGACAGACGAGCCGAGCGGTAGTAATTGAACTCACCGAGATGGAAGTTGAAGAGGATGTAGTCATGGAGAGTCAGCCAGAGCAGGAAAGTCAAGTAAACGGTTCCGAGGCCAAGGAGGGATCTGTCGACAACGAGAAGAAGCCAGAAGCCAATGGAGAGAAGAGATCCGTCGAAAATGACAAGACTGGAGATGAAAAGGAGGCCACCCCTGAGGAGGCTCCGAAGATCCCCGAGACCACCCGCGAAACGCGTAAGGGAAGAAGCGCCTCTCAGCCGAATAGAAAGCGGTCGCAGTCAGCCGCTGGGCTCCCGGAGAACCAAGACGACGAAAGTCTTGTTGAGAAGAGGAGTAAGCGCATCCGACGGAGGGAAACAGCACAAGCGGAGGAGGTCATAGACCCTAGCGCTGTGCTTGCAACTCAGCTGGCACCCTACCAAGCAGCCGACCAGAACCTATTCCAGGCCACCAAGAATATGCTGGAAAATATCGGTGTCACGAACCAGGCCGTTTTGGATCGGATCAGCGAAGTATTGGATTCATTAGCATCCGAGGATCGCGCAGCATCCATCAAGAACCAAGCTACCATGGATCTTCGAAATGCGATCGTTTCCTTCAGCGAGGAAAACGCGAAGATTCTACTCAACAAGCAGGCTCCAGCATCTCTGAGTCTGTCGTCGTTTCTGGAGCACGCTAAAGGTGGTTCTCAGAAGACGTCCGTCATCCCTCCGTTCAAAGAGACCCAAGGCATTGCCGCCTTCGCCAAGCGAGTCAATGCATCCTGGATGACCGCTCAAGAGGTCGCCTATGAATGGATTAAGACAATCTGTCCTAGCTATCTGCAAACGAAATGGTCAGATGCAATGAAGACAGCCGTTGTTCAGGTTATTAGCCGATTTGACCAAGACATTCTTCAGGCTATCAACTATGACCTGGAATGCGCGCATCGCTCAGTGGGCGGCGAAGACGCCTATGCCTTTATCAAGGATATTGTTGAGATGTTGTTCGAGATCCATCTCGACGTATACGAGAGGATTACGAACCCTAACAGTGTCGTGGACTACAGTATTCGTGTCGAGGCCAAAGGTCGCTTGGGTCGTTGGCTGGATATTGCCTCGGGTTTGCTTCGAGGAAGTCCTCAGGAGGGCAACGAGAAGCTGACAGCCCGGTTCCTTTGGGCAGCGATCTTTTCCACGACTCTGACGGAGAATGCTTCCAGAGAATACATCCTGCAGTGTTGGACAAGTTTACGGGATTTTCTCGCAGATGGCCAGGTTGACCAGCTCTATCTCCCCAACAACCCGGTCATCCCGGAGATTTCCGAGGCTGCGGCCGACAGGGAGATCTCAAAGTTGACAACCATGGACTTCTTCCTCGGCCTCTTCCAGGATAACGTCAGTGATCCTGTCGCTGTTATCGAGAACCTTGAGCCTGTTCTCAACCCCACCTCCGTCTACGTGTCTATTCCACCCGAGGAATCCGCAAAGATTGGCGAGGGATCTGGCCGCTCTAAACCTAAGAAGGTTCCCATCAAGGAATACGCGACGCAGAGCTTGCAAGACCTATGGAGGTTCCTTCTAGGCACCAGCACAGAGCTACGATTGTTCCTTTGGTCACGTCTCAGTGATGCATACGGCACGATCAAGTATTCCACGAAGCAATTCTCATGCCAACTAAAGGCAATCGAGATGCTCACAGCGGATCTTGAGAGCGACAGCTACCTGAAGAATGCACCGGAAACCAGGCCGCCGCTTTTGCTTAAGATGCTCAAATCTCTCGATGACCTCTTGATCACGGCTCTTTCGCTAGCGCTGAACGACACTTCTGCCTATGACATTGTTGACGAAGAGCACTTGCGGACGACATCTGCAGCTCTGGCAAAGCTGAGCTCCATGCTTCATGCTTCGGCGATGCACGAGGATGAAATTCGCATCGGCATGACGCGCATACCACCAAACAGCCCCTCGTTCCAGGCATTCCTCAACAAATTGCGTGAGATTCAAGTGCGCGTGTGGTGCCTCCAGTACACGGTGATCAAGGTCGGTGTCAACCAGAACCGGACAATGTTTCCTCAGCCTGAGATGGAGCTCGCAGACTACCTGTCAGCTATACATCAAGTTTTGGGTTTGAGAAAGTGTTGCAAGGCATCCAACAAGATTTTCCTCAAGATGATGCGCGTTGAGCTCCTCAAGTTCAAGAATATCGAAAACTGGGAGGACTACCTAGGTCAAGTCCTGTACGACCTTCACGGATTGAAGCTCGGCGTGGGGGTTGGGGAGGTCCAAGACCATGGATGCCCGCCAGAGAAGCTCGAGAAGCGCAACGCGATGCAACTTGTCGACAAAATCACGGTTTTGGCAAGAAGGATGCCCAGGAAGGACCTGCTCAAGTCGGACCTCAAAACAACGATCGAGCACATGCAGGGAGCAATTGGCCAGACCAAGTCTACTCCTCAGATGATTCACAACCTCAGGAATTTCACTGAATATTTGAAGCGACCTATTCATCCTTTGCGGTTGTATCAAGCCTTGACTGGCGGCGTCCAGCTCGACGTTGTTGCCGTCAATACGCCGGAGAGCGCCCTCGCCAAACACGGCTGGTTCTTCCTGCTGGGCATGATTGCGCTCACCAGGTTCAAGCAAGTCGATTTGAGCAAGAGACAGACACCCGGCGCTACTGACGACTTGCGACTTGCTGCGACCTTTTTGCGACTCCAGCTCCAGTTCACTCCGGATAAGTGGGATGCATGGTTCCGTCTTGCTGAATGCTTTGACTACGAGCTTGACGAAGCCGTTTTGTGGTCGGCTGACAAGATGAACAAGGAGCGCGGTGAACTGCTCAAGTTCCAGCGCAACTCAATCCACTGCTATACGCTCGCGCTCTCCAACTCCTGGGAGATTGACATCGACGACGAAGACGAGGACCCCTTGCACGAACTCTATCACAACTTCGCCATGCGGTTGTACGCATCCAGCCGTGAGCCCCTTGCAATGGAGCCCTTCCAACATGCAGACCATGAACGGTTTTTCATTGAGAATATGGGTAATGGGACATTCAAGAGGGCCGTTCACGAAGAAATGCAGGACTACAAAGTGTGGAAATACGCCGCGGGCTTGTTCAAACGGGCTATGCGACGCAAGCCACAGGACTGGAGGTGAGTCTCGTGTCGAGCAACGCACCAGTCTGATACTAATATCTAATAGGAACCCATTCATGCTTACGAAGTGTCTTTGGAAGATGTACCAGAAGCCTGTTGATCAGTTGTCGGAGAAGAATCGCCAGACTCGTCCATCAGTTGACTACTTGATCTCAGCTCTAGAGCATGCTGTCGAGGTGGTTGCCGCTGTGCCCAAATCAAGGCATAGCGACCCCATCTTGGAGCCTCACTACAAGATTGTGTCCATCGTGCACAAACTCGTCATCCGAAATGATCTCACGTGGCAGGAGGGTGCTGATATTTTGTCACGACAGCCATTCGGTATGGAGCTTGGCGACGATATTACAATGAATGATGTCGAAGATTGGGAGGAATACGTCATCAGGAATCTGCACCACCTCCGAGACAAAGACAAGTCAAACTGGCAGCATCGCATTATCATGCGCCACGCACGTCTCCTGTTTGACGAAGATGGCGAGTCTCCCGAGCTTGTCCAAGCCAAGGCGGCATTCAACGTGTTGAGAGAATCCATGTTCACGAAGACGATGGTCATGAATGTCTGGAAGTGCGATGCCGAACGTCCCGGGCGACATCACGTTTACACTACTCAGTACATTCGATTCATGGTCAGACTTTTGGTGATTATGAACGACAGAGTCAACTTAGAGATGGTTCTGAGACGCCTACGAAAGAAAGGCGCCGACTTTTACCATTTCAGCGATTTGTGGCAACACTGTTGCATGGCCTATGTCAGGCTATTGCGGCAAGGCTTCCAGATTTCTCAAACTCTGGAGGACTCGTTTAAGTCAACGTCGATGGAGGAGCTAGAAATCATGGCAGATCGCATCACCGAATGGGCAGGAGGTCCGGCAACCGACATCTCCGCTTTCAACTGTCTGAAGGAGACAATAGAGTTGAAAAAGCTCAATGGTGGACTTATGAAGGCGGGTGCGCTGGACGACCTTATCAACGACTGCTACGCAATCATTTACCAAGAGATTGGCCCTACCCTGCCAGGCCCCGAGCCTCACGAAGTTCTCGAAGCGCGCGCAAGAGCCCGCGCTCGGGAGGAGGCCGACGGCGGCGGCGAGCTGAAGCCACAAAACTCGCTCGGAAACCTCTTGAACCCTCAGGGCTCCCAAGACTCAGTCGCAATGGAAGAATCCGGCGATAAGACTGCCGCTGCCCCTGAAGCAGCCCCGAGACGCCGTGTTGGTGTGCGAAGGCCTGACATAATTCGCAAGGCCGAGCAGGCCTTTGCCCGGTTCGGTGAGACCCCCAAGGCTGCTGTCGCGCCGTCCAAGTCCCGTGTTGGTTCGGTCTCGAGCGGTAGGATGGGGCATACACCTACGGGAGACGTCGACGAGGGCAGCGACGCCGAAGAGCATGTCGAGGGTGCAGAGGGCCGCGAGGATGGCGAAGACGTGGAGATGAAGGACGACACGGCGGTTGAAGCCGAAGAGGGCGAAGAAATGGATGAAGGCGAAGAGGGCGAAGAAGCCGAAGACGGTGAAGAAGAGGCACCTGCACAAGCCACGGCAGCATCCAGCCCTCGGGGTAGTATCCACGACTCAGCCGATGACGAAAGTGAACTTAGCGATGTTCCTGATGACTGGGACGAGGAGCCTCCGCCATCGATGCTTTTCCCCAACCTGAGGAAGAGTGTGGACACAGCAAGGGAAGCTAGCGGCGATTCCACGGAAGAGGAAGAAGAAGAGGATGAAGGGGAAGAGGGAGAGGATGAGGAAGAGGCAGAGGACGAAGAAGGCGAAGAGGAAGAAGAAGAAGAAGATGGCGAAGAAGCAGAAGAAGGCGAGGAGGCAGAAGAAGGCGAGGAAGGTGAGGAAGAAGAGGGCGAGGAGGATGAGGGTGAGGAAGAAGAGGAAGAGGAAGAGGATGGGGAAGAGCAAGCTGAGGAAACTGTTGAAGAGTAGAAATCGACACAGCGATATTGGACGTGGCCATCAGTTGACCGGTGGCGTCAACAGGCAGCAGCAGGGGTTATGGATGAAGAAGCACTGAGAGACACTGGCGTCTTTGAGTATTGTGTGAGATATTATTAGAGTACCGGTCAAGGGACAAGGCAAATAGCATGATTTCCATCCCAAGGCCAGCAACACCTCTTTGACTGTCCAGCCTGGTGAACAACAAACGATCTGCTGTTCAGTGAGTCTTGAACTAAGTGGCGAGTTCCTTGAGCTCATGTCTCTTTGCAGGCAGTCCAGTCAAGCCGCAGCCTGCGTGAGGGGCATGCCACTTCACGATGTCTCATGACCCCGACAAGCCGCAACAACCTGGTGAAGGACTGTCGATGACCTCAGCAAGGCAGGTTATAAAAGGACGCCTCTCTTTTCAGAAACGTTGCCGTCTACAAACCCCCTCAAACCATCATCACCTTCTACTTCATTACTTCTACCACTACTTCATACCAAATACTACCGTCACATCCTCAAGATCGTACAAGCATACAAACAAATCATCAAGTTCGACCCGAACCAATTCCAAACAACTTTACCAACCATCAGTTGCCAAGATGTGCACTCACTGGAAGGCCAAGCGCGAGGACTGCGGCCACACCGTCTACCGATGGGAAGTCCGTTGCCAGGAGGCACGCATCAAAAAGAAGGCGTGCAAGGCCTGGACCTATCGGACCGAGTGGGAGATGGGCCTCTGCAACGAGTGCCTCACTGAGAACCGCTACGTCTGGAAGTCGTCTTACGCTTAAAGCTGTGTTTCGCATACATTCATCGTTCTTGCTTCATCGGAGCGACGGAAAGTCGCGGGGTTCAGTCAGAGATATGGGCAGATCGTGGTGACTGACAGACGTTTGTGTGGGTGTGTGTTTGAGGCGGGAGGAGGGCGAAGGCCGGGATAAGATTGGCGGATCGTTAGGGACAGAAACGTATCAGACTTGTCTCGGTTTTCTTCTGAGGAAACCCCCTATCAGCTCAAATTGAACGCTTTAACGGCCTATTATTTATTCACGCTGTGATTTTTAGTTTATCGTGAATGATGCCAGAGCAAGGTGGTGGTTGTTGAAGCTGTGCAGATGCAGCTACCTCAGCTAAGGTACTGGGGTGAGGTAAGGCAGGAGCTACCCCACCCTGCCCCTGCCCACCCGCCAACCATGTTCCCGTCCAGCTCCAGGTCCCAGCACGCTTGCGCCTTCCAGTGGCCGCCTGGGAAGGGGACCTGCCGCACCCAGCAGCGCAGGCGGCAATTTCCGTCGACGACCTTCCACCGCGGCCGGCCTTGCCAACCAATCTTCAACCAAGCTTGCTTCCATCATCATCAGAACCCACCCCCTCCACGAGACCCAACGAGACATCGAACCCAGCGACCGACGAAGCTTCTTCCAAACGCACCTTTTCGCTCCCGGGTTGTTTCCATTTCGACAGAGGAGAACCAGCCAGCGACTCCAGAGGGGTTCTGACCAACGCATCACGTCACAAATACACACACAAACAATGGCTTCCTCAGACGCAAAGCCCGCGCAGGACAAGGCTGCGGCCGACGCCAAGGCCGAGGAGACGACGCAGCAGCAGGCGGCGGCTAAGAAGCCCGCGCTGGGCGAGGACGACGAGTTTGAGGACTTCCCCGTCGATGGTAGGTCTAGTCCATCCCCCGTCTTCCGGTCCCCGCGAGCATCTTTCCTGGATTGAGCGGTGGGACAGTCCGCTGTTCTCCATCCTGCTTGAGGATCGATGGCCCTGGACCTGGGACGCGCTGTATGGCACCATTGAAGTGTCGAAGCGTCCATTGAAGGCAAAGGTACTGGCGACTGACATACTACATAGACTGGGCCCAGGAGGACACCGAGGCGGCAGCTGGCGGCAGCGGCACGACGCAGCACCTTTGGGAGGAAAGCTGGGACGACGATGACACGAGCGACGACTTTTCCGCACAGTTGAAGTATGGGACCTACCCACCAAGGCATACGGCGTGATACTAATTACCTTCCAGGGAGGAGCTGAAGAAGGTCGAGGCCAACAAGCGACGCTGATCTAGTCCACACGATGGGGACTGCTGTGAGGAAGAGGGGAATGCGGATATGACGTTTGGACCAGACTGGCTGGGGTGAGACTACGGACATAGACTACGTACAAGCTCTAGACGACTGGCGGCACACCAGTAATGAAATTCAAAACAAGGGCACAGGTTTTTCTTTTGGCACCAGACGTGGTTCCATGTTTTTACTTTTTTATTTGTATTCGTGACGGTTTCTAGGACATGACACGGGGCATTACGTTCATCATCACCGCCCTCTTGTTTTGCGGGCGTACCTCTCTTTCATATCCATGCATGTTCACCCGGGCCTAGAGACTGGGCTTGCCAGCTCGACCTTTTAATCCCATCTATCAGACCGATCAAGTCCCATAGAGCGGGGCCACATCTTCTACGCTGGCGAGGAGTTGTTTACTTACTCGACAGAGCAACGACACCAGGGAGGGCCTTGCCCTCGAGGAGCTCCAAGCTGGCACCACCGCCGGTGGAGACGTGGCTGAGCTTGCTCTCAACGCCGTACTTGGCGGCAACGGTGGCCGTGTCACCACCGCCGATGATGACGATCTTGCCGCCCTCGGCAGCAGCGACGGCGGCGTCGAGGGTAGCCTTGGTGCCGTTGGCGAACTTCTCCATCTCGAAGACGCCAGGGGGGCCGTTCCAGAGGATGGTCTTGGCCTCGTTGATGGCCTGCTTGTACAGCTCAATGGACTTGGGACCGCAGTCGAGACCCATCCAGCCGTCAGGGATGCCAGACTCGTCGGTGGCAGAGTCGGTGTTGGCGTCCTTGTCGAACTTGTCGGCGGTGACGTAGTCGACGGGGAGGACAAGCTTGACGTTGTTGGCCTTGGCCTTCTCGACGAGCTTGCCGACGGTCTGGGCACCGGACTCGTCGAAGAGGGAGTTGCCGATGCTGACGTTCTCAAGGGTCTTCTTGAAGGTGAAGGCCATGCCACCGCAGACAATGAGGGTGTTGACCTTGTCGAGGAGGTTGTCGATGAGCTGGATCTTGTCGGAAACCTTGGCACCGCCGAGGATTGCAAGGAAGGGGCGCTGAGGGTTCTCGAGAGCCTTGGCGAAGTACTCGAGCTCCTTCTTCATGAGGAAACCAGAGGCCTTCTGGGGGAGGTCGACACCGACCATGGAGGAGTGGGCACGGTGAGCAGTGCCGAAGGCGTCGTCTGGCAGAAGTCAGTTTGGATTCAGAAGATGTGGCGTGATGCTGTGTCGAGGAACGACGTACTGATGAAGACATCACCGAGAGCAGTGAGGCCCTTGCGGAACTCCTCGACCTTGGCCTTGTCAGCCTTGGTCTTGTTGCCGTCCTTGTCCTTGGCGGAACCCTCCTCCTCAATGTGGAAGCGCAGGTTCTCGAGCAGGACGACCTGGCCGTTCTCGGCCTTGTTGACGAGGGCCTCGACGTCGGGGCCGACGCAGTTCTTGGCGAACTGGACAGACTTGCCGAGCAGCTTCTCGAGCTCGGGAACGACCGGCTCGAGGCTATACTTGGGGTTCTCCTGGCCGTTGGGGCGGCCCAGGTGGGACATCAGGACGACGGCCTTGGCGCCATTGTCGACCGCGTACTTGATGGTGGGGACGGCACCGGCAATACGCTGGGTGTTGGTGACCTTCTTGTCGGCGTCGAGAGGGACGTTGAAGTCAACCTGTGGAGGGGGTCTGTCAGTTACTGGGGTCACAGCAGGCTTCTGACTGAACGGATTCAATGTGGAATTGCAATGCTTCCGCGGTTAAAGACTGCTCCGGGTGCAATAACCGCGGCCCGTCCCGTACTCATCGCCAGAATACGGAACCGGGTCTGAGGTCATACCCGGGATCAAGCGTAGTGAGGGCGGCATGGTGGGGTAACGAGCACCACTGGTGCTGCAGAGCACGCAGGAGAGCGCGGGGCAGAGCAGTGTCAGGGTGATGGCAGGCTGGCATCGTTGACTTACGCGAATCAGGACGCGCTTGCCCTTGAGGTCGACGTCGGTGATGGCGAGCTTGTTGGAGAGAGACATGGTTGCAATTGGGTATATTGGTGATGTAGGAGAGTTGAAGGAAAAGAAGAAGAGAAGAAGTGGAAGAGGTTGTGAGGTATATTTAGGAAATGGGATGGGATGGGATGGCGTGGATGGATGGACTGGACAACCGGCGCAGGAAAAACACGCAGGACCTTGACCTTGACCTGGACCTGGACCTGGACCTGCTACCTTCAGAAAGTGTCAGGTCACCGTCCAGTCAATCCAGACCTTCAGTGGTTCAACAACGTTGAGAGGGACCTTCAAATGGTGGGGTGCCTTGCTGCTCTGTGCTGGCGGGGTGTTTTGCATGCCTTTTTTTTTTTTGGCTTGTTGGCGGGGTTGATTTGTCTTAGTGGGGAGCTCCTGCTCTACCTACCTTAGGCTCTGGCTGTACGGCCCAGGCAGTGCTTCCTTTCACAGCTTGCAGCAGCAGCTTTCCACTGAGGTGCAAGCCCCGGGACATTGGCGGCAGCAGGGTGGGAGCTGCCCCGCCCCTGTTTGTGACGTGATGGTTGTCTGATAAGCTGCCTCAGCTCACATTCTCAGCACCTGCAACCCCCGGCTCTGCCTTCCAAGACCTCCCTTGCCGGGATAGCCACCATCGCGAGACGAGCATGCAGCGTTCTGAACCGCTTGTTTCCTGTTTCGTCGCTATAATTGGACAACCAGATCCTGCTCAACTGCTCTTTGGGATGTACAACTGAAGAACCTGCCGAAATTGGGGGCTATCCAGGTTGCCAAGGGGGTTGTCGCTAGCACTATCAGAGAGCTTCAATAATACCGAGAGATACGCCGCCTCCTTCACGCATAGCAGGCTTACCACATTTCTCAGACCACGCTCTTACACAACCACGGGATATCAGCACCGCACCAAGTTCTTTTAGTGACTGCAATTTATTGCCGTTTTTTACAAAAGAAATCTGACGTCAAACAAAGTGCAGGAACCCCCTCTTTTCCCGGTAGGTCCATGCCGTAACACCGAACGCCTGTAGCCCTTTCGAAGCACCGGGTGCTCTTTTGTAACGATCGAACGAAGCGATTCAACCCTCCCAAGTCCTTGAACGCCAGATATGCCTGCAGCGGTGTGCGATCTGCGACCTGTCCCAGCCCGTGCCAACCGGCAGACGAAACCAACCATGGTATGTGCATGTATGAAGCTATCTAACTAAGACGGATGTGGTCGTCGTCGCGGGCCGCGGGTCGGTTGTCAACTTCAGAGGCAGAGTTGGAGAGAGACAGGTAGGCGGTCCATGCGATACCGATGGTGGAAACAAATGGCTGCAACGCGTGTAAGTACGAGGTAGGAACTCAAGGATGGTGGAACTGCCACTTACTAGCTGGAACTGCACCGGCATGAGGCGGAAGTTGATAATCTGGACGGCGGGCCACACGGCAAAGTTGGCCTTGAGCGTCGGAACGTACATGTCGCGCAGCTTCTGAAAGACGGCGCGGCGGCCACCGCCCTCGGCAACGGTCATGACGGTGAAGAAACAGGCGATACCGAAGGGCGCGAAGATGAACTGGTCAAAAGCGACACGCTTCATCGCGGGGACGAAGGCGCTGCTTTTGGTGATGGGGAACGCCGTGGAGAGGAACTTGAACCAGCGGAACTGCAGCGGGGCCATGGCGAAACCATAGGCCATGAAGCGAGTGAGGCGCTCAAAGTCGAAAGGGGGAGGCAGCAGGCCCGAGTTGGGAATCAGGTCCTTATCCGAGAAGGGGTTCTTTCGGTCGAGGTCGTGGATCTCGATGGCGACCCTATCGTCCTTGTCGACTCCTCCAGGCTTGCGGATGGCCTTTTGTCGCAGGGCAGTGATGGTCTGGGCCGTAGTGTCGGCGATGCCACCGAGGATGGCGTTGGTCACCATCATGGTCAGTACTGCGGCCAGAGTGTTAGTAAAGCTGCGTAAGTCGAGGGTGGCGAAATGCCCGAGTGTGAGGTGCGTGAGACGTACGTGGACGTTCATCGTAGTATTGGTTGAAGCGGGCAGTCAACCTGGCGACGAGCGCCATCTCGATGAAGAAAATGACTGCGTGAAGCAGTGGCTAGGTAGCAGCGATATCAAGTCAGTCGGAGAACGTGTGAGGATACAATTTCGTTCGCGGCTGGTTCAAGGTGGAAGGCGGCGCGAGTGCGGGACGGGATGGATGGACAAGACAGGCGATTCAGGCTCAGGAATGTCAAAGTATGGAGAGGGGAACCGTGTGAAACGGGCAATGTAGAGGTGCAGGTAATTGTTGTTACGGGATACTGGAACGGGGGATGGCATACAAGGCGTCCGTAAAGGTATTTGCCGTTGACGGCTCGCACAATGCGACGGCGAGAGAGTTCCCACGACATGGCGATGGATCTGATGGAGGGCGATGGACGGTTCGGGTTTCTTCTTTCTTGAGCTGGGCGCGGTTCGACAAGGTGCGCCCGGGGCAGCAGCTCCTATTTCCTCAGAGTGAGGTAACAAATGGGCAAAGTGTGCAAATAATGAGCAGGCCGAGGGGTCTGGTTCCTCTGGGGCCGGTCTTGTCTATCGCTGTTGGCTTGATAAGGCAAGGAATGAAGTCTGCAGCGGCGTTTTGCTGATGCTTCTGGGGGCTTCGAACAGGGCGATGACGACACAGTAGCCAAAGATTCGCTGGGTGGCGCTGGTGCTGGACGGGACGATGATGATTGGTCGATATCGCTTGCTGTCTAAGGTAGGTGGTGTCTGCAGGCGTCAGGCAACGGAGGTTTTCGTCCAGCGGGTGGCACCTCCTTTCGCGGGTATTACGAGAGGGCACGGTAACAAAAGGGAGATGTGAGAGCAGAGTGAGGAAAGAAAGAATGATCACCACTTGGCGGAAGGGATGTAGGAGCCGAGTGGTTTAAGATGGAGAATCGGCAAGGTGTGAAAGATGGAGCAGATAATGTGCCGCAGCAGCAGCAAGGCAAGGAAACCAAACAATCCTGGCCAGGCAAACACGCAAGGAATCAAAAACTCATGCCCTCCCTCTGGCTCTGCAAGGAAGGTGCCAACAGGTGCGCCTTAGCTGCAGGGTCTCCAAGAACGCAACCTAATTGACCGAAAGTGGTGGTAATGGTGGTGGTGGTGTTGGTGCTGCTACTTTGCGGCTTTGCGTGCTTCAAGAACGCCCAGCGCTTTCTGCTCTTGAGCATTGAATTTGGAAGCAAAAACACTGGGGCGAAAGTGAAATGCAGGGAAACAGCAAAATGTGCTGGATGCCGCTGATGGCACATCGAGGCGAGCGGAGTTTCGGACGGCGCGCCACAGCACTGGCACTGTGTCACTGTGTCACTGTGCGCTCGAGAGTGGACCCACCCGACGCCAGTCCAGCAGCCAGACGTTCACAGGTGCAGGTGTTGCTATATTTGGTCAATCCGTTGGCTGTTGGCGGACTCCTCCGCGGCCCCGACCGTGCCGAAGCCGCTTAGCAGTGCGCCGCACAGTGCTGGCCCCCCTCCATCTCGGCGTCGATCACCGAGTCCCTTCTTCGGCGCATGTTCCATTCTCTCTCTCTCTCAACGCCTACCTAGAAGAAGACCGGCACACAGACCTCGCTGAGGGAGACAGAGGACGGGAAACACCACCTACCTTACCTAGGTAGACTTGGGATTGCCTGGACCACCACACTCACAACGTTCCAGCAAACAGTCCGCATTGAACCCCAAACACAAGACCTCTTTCCCGATCAATGCTCCTGTTTCACACCCGGCCCCGATCGTGGGGTAAACGCTGTAGCTCTCCTAGTAGACGGCCACGAGAGCCGCTGACGTGCTGGGGACGCCGTCCTAACTGACTTCTGACAGCCTCTCGGAACGTCGTCCATTCTCCATGCCACCGAAACTCAGACATGCAACCGCCCCGTCCAATCACTGAACCTCACTTGCTGCCCTCACACTACGTAGTCTACATGCGAAATTTGAGGCTTGAGCTTGTTTAAACATTAAGGGTCTCCAATGGCAGGATCCTCCTTGGTCGGTACACGTAATCGTCCTATTCCAATGTTTCTTCCCTCTCCCCTTTTGTTTCCTCTCGGCCCTTGGTTCAGACGAATCGTCACAAACAATAGATTACAATCACCAACACCCGATTCAGTTCCTCGCAACTCTGTTTCCTCAGAGGTAAACGTTGACCGACTCGCGAGAGTATCCGTATGTCGTCGGCCACTGGCTGTAGTCCGGCTCGAAGAGGATGGCGTCATTGCAGTCGCTGCCCAACGAAGTGTTGTTGAGCCACGCCTGTTGATTATCATCAGTCAGCTATGCTACTCACGAAGACGAAGGTTCACATAGAACTAGTTTCACTCACCGGCTCCCAGTACCAGAGACCCTGTCCCATGCCGTTGGGCACGTCACGCACAATCTGGAGCGTCTTGTGCATCCACTCAACCTGGCCCTGAACGTTGTAGGGAATCGACGGCTCCGAACTCTCGGGAATGGGGTTCCATCTGCCGTCGCATAGGGCAGGATAGTCCGTCTCGACAATCTGGGCAGGCTTCTTGTACTTCTTCGTCATCGTGTGGAGCACATTCTTGATGTTCTCGAACGTCGCCGAGGTGCCGTAGAACGGGTAGAAGCTGAAGCCAAAAGCATCCCACGCCGAGAGCGGCACGCCGTTCTCCACGAGCGCCCCGAACCACCTCTCCTGCAGAGTCAGGTTCCAGCCGTTGTCGATGTGGATCATGACCTCGGGCTTGGGCACGCCGGCGCACGTTGCGTCCTTGACGCCGGCCCGCGCGGCCTTGAAGAGCGTCGCGAGGTTGGCGAAGCTCTTGACCAGCGCCGGCCAGGGCTGCACGTCGACGTCGACCTTGCCGACCGGCCAGAGGAAGCCGTGGCGGATCTCGTTGCCGAGGGAGACGAGGTCCAGCTTCACGCCGGCGTCGTGGAAGGCGACGAGCGTCTCGCGGACGTACTCGCGCAGCTTGCCGGCCAGGGGCTCCACCTCCGTCGGCCACGCCGCGGGAAGGGGCTGCTTCTGGGGGTCGGCCCAGCTGTCGGAGAAGTGGTAGTCGAGGAAGAGGCGCTGGCCCTTGCTTTGGAAGCGCTTCGCGAGCTCGATCGTGTAGTTGAGGCCATAGTTCCCGTCGGGAGGGTTGACCCACAGGCGGAGACGGACGCCGTTCATGCCGCCGTCGGCGAGGATGTCGTCGGCGGGTCGCGAAACGTTGCCTCGTGCGGTGTCGATGAAGATGTTGTTGAACTCCTCCAGCATCTTGAGGGAGCTCAGATCGTGACCCTTGTAGAAGAAGGGCTTCTGGGGGCTGGCACTTGTCTCTTGTTAGACTCAATTGCTCAAGAGTGTCTCAGGCGACTTACTTTCTGCCCTCCAGGGCGGGCGCCGCCGCCGCCAGAGCTGTGAGGCCGAGCAAGGAGAGAAGCTGCGATGAAATCATGGCAAAGCGGTACCACGTCTCCTGCGCGTCGTCCTCTGTTGCTTTGCGCCGAGGTCGCTCATTATATATGGCTCACAATAAACGGCTCATTGACCGCCTCACATGACGGCAATCATCGAGCCACCGGTCTGCTATGCCAAGAGCAGAATAGACGCGGTCCAGCTGTCACGGGGGCTCGGCGCTGTTTTTCTCAATTCAATGTGACGACTCGACGGAAGATCTCAAGGTAACCCAAATGAATGCGGGGATACATCGCGGGGTTGCCGGGAACCGACCCCATCGTCGGCCGGCCAGCCATTGGTGCGCCTGGGTCAGGCCCCTGGTCTCTCCCGCAATTTCGGTCAATGTGTCTCCAGCTTCAGCTCATGGTCCAGGGTGCCAAGTTCCAACTGCCCGGGTCATCACCACTAGTCACTGTTGGCAGGTGGAGATGGAGACTCTGAAATGAGGGCAAAGGCTGGGCCCAGACCGGAGTATCACACGGTCTGCAGCCGAGGTATCTTATTCAGTGCTTAGAAATTTCTACCTGATCCAAACTGGTGGCTGGAAAACACAACTTGATTCTCAACCCTATCCGTCGGTCAGGACTCGAGTCCAGTCAAACTTCCTCCACTTCTTCTTAAACCCTTCAACCCTGCGATCGCCCTTGTTCCAGCGCCCCTGCTTCTTGATCACGTCCGGCGCTACGTCCAAGATACCTCCAATAATCTCTCTAGCAAACAAGTCGCCTCTGGGCCAGCGGTCAGAGTTTTCGACAACGTGACCGAGGCCGCCGTCGAGAGTGAACCAGGCGTGGAAGTACGGCATTTCTTTGGCGATGCTCCGGCGGAAGGCCATTCTGCCCATGCCGTCGCGTGCTCTAGCGCCGGTGTCAATGATCTTCTTGTGCTGCGACCACTCCTCGTCTGTCGTGAGGAAGGCCTCCTTGAAGTATGCTGGGGCTGTGGCACCTTCCTCGTAGGGAATGGGCACCGCCATCATCGCCGCGTGAAGGTGTCTTTGCGGTGCGGCGGCGTTCTCGTAGAATATGACCTCCTGGCCCTTTTCGTGGTACATTCTTGTGAGGGACTTCATGAAGTTGCGAATCTCCTCCCATTCGTCGTCGTCACACTCCAGCAAGTTCTTGCGGTGGGCAATGGGAGTAATTACCGCGCCGCCCTCGCAGATTTCGGGTTCCGTAGGCAGAGTCAGAAATACGCGCGTGCCGAGTGAGATGACTGGTGCCAGAGGTGGTTGTCCTTTGTCTTCGTGATGGCAGAGAGGGCAGTTGTCCAAAATTCGCGTCACCTTCTGATACTCGTTGACAGCAACGTTCTTCAGGTTGATCTCCGACTTGTGTACCCTCTTCGCAAGCTTTTCGGCATTCTCGTCCATGTACTCGAGATCATCGTCGAACTTGCCATCTTTTGCAATGCGCTCCGCCAGACGCATGCCCTCGCCGCCCGCTTGGCCACGAGTTCTGCGTTCCTCGCGAACCATGTCCTCAATTGACATGTCCTCGTTTGCCTCCACGTTGCCGCGCTCACGGCCTCGCTTCGTCTCAATAGACTTGACCTCGCCCCGCGTTCCTGCCAGCATTCGATTGTCCATGACACCGAGAACAACAGACTGCGGCCCGTTGGTTGCGAAACTAGCAGCGGCCGCATTGTATTCAGCTTCCAGCTTGGCAGCATCAGGTGCTCGGCGAAGCTTAGCCTTCATCATCTGAGCCCGCATTCGGTTCAACGCAGTCTGGTCAATGGGAGTGTGCAGCATGGCCTGGTCGGGGATGACCGTGCCCTGCTGAATATCCTCCATGGGACTTGGTTCTTTCGGCTCCGGACGTTGCTTCTCCATGCGCTCCTGGTAGAGGTCACCGGTGGGCTTCTCTTTACCAACGTACCCATCTCCGTAAACCTTGCGCCGATCCATCTCGATCTTTTCTTCTCGAGCATCGTCGAATTCCTGCAAGCTGCCGAATCTTTCCAGAGCAATTTCCTCAACAGGTCGCCCCGACTCTTCCGCCATGGAGTAAACGCCCTTGAGCTTGGTCATACGCCACTGAGAGCCGTTGTCCCCGAATGTGTAATTGATGGTTCTCTCCTTTGGCGTCTCGTCGGTGGACGCAGCGTTGACTTCGTCAAAGTCCTTGTTGATCTCCCTTTCGTGAACAACCCTGATGGGCTCCTCCTTTGGCGGTGGCGGTTTCTCCTTCTCCTTGCGTTGGACGTAATCGATATCGAGGGCTGACGGGGCAGTCATCCACGAGTCGCGCACCAATGGGGTGGATGTCTTGGTTTCTTCTGGGGTCGCCTCTTCGTCGGGAATAGGGAGATCCTCCTTTGGATCAGAAGTCTTTTCGTGTTTTTCGTCGCGCCTCCCACCATCTCTATCCCGGTGCCGTCTTGACCGCCGTTCCTCGTCGTCTCTGAAATGGCGTGACCTCTTGTGCCTGTGCCCATCCTCCTCGTCTTCGTCATGGCGTCGCGACCTGGGGTGCCGGTGGCGGTCATTATCGCGATCGCGATCACGTTCGCGGTCTCTTTCTCTGTCTCGGTCGCGTTCCCGGTGTCCGTCGGATGACCTGTCGCGCTCGCGATGATGATGATGGTGGCTTCGCTGCTTCTTCCTCTCTCTGCGCTCGTTCTTTTCTCGTTCAATGCGCTCTCGTTCGCCCTTTTCGGCTGCGACAGCCTTTTCAAAGTCGTCGAGGCCGTCCATATTTGATCGATTAGACGACAGAATGAGTGACTGCTTGGTGTTGACGTGACGACTTCGGACCAGCTACCTGAGGCAGCTTGGATCGAAGGACGACAATTGGCAACCTCAATGCAGGTTGGACGTCACTGGGCACGGACCACATAGATTTTGGAACGGCCCAGGGGTCTTATTAGCGCGTTCTTCACAGGGGGTGTCGTCCACTCTAGCGCCCCGCGCGGGGCATCCAGCTCTTCCAACTCTTCCAGAACTTTTTTCCTGCGACTGAGATCAACACCACCAGTTGAAGTCGACGACATAAACTGCACAAAGATGGCTGAAGCTTCCTCGACCGCACCCGCCCCAGCCTCGGCCTCAGCCCCGGCTCCGGCCCCGGGCTCCGACTCCCCAGTCTCTATTGTCGTTGTCGGCATGGCCGGTAAGGAGTTCTCGCCGGTGCACACTCGACGACTTGCGCTGACCAATACCTCCTCCAGGCTCCGGCAAAACGACGTTCATGCGACGTATCAACTCATATCTCCACGGCAAGAAGGAGCCCCCTTATGTTATCAACCTGGACCCTGCGGTTCTCAACGTGCCCTTTGAGAGCAACATCGACATTCGCGACTCAGTCAACTATGAGGAGGTCATGAAGCAGTACAACCTGGGGCCGAATGGTGGAATCTTGACATCTCTTAACCTCTTCGCCACGAAGGTCGACCAGATTGTCAACCTTCTCGACAAGCGCGCGGCCCCAGACCCGGCAAATCCCGACAAAAAGCCCATCAAGAACATTCTTGTCGATACTCGTGAGTCTTCCGGATGTGTGTGCCATCGGGACCTCAAACTAACAAATCTCCAGCCGGTCAGATTGAGGTATTCGTATGGTCAGCCAGCGGTACCATTCTCCTCGAGTCACTCGCTTCCTCCTTCCCGACGGTCATCGCCTACGTTATCGACACCCCGAGAACCACATCCACAAGCACGTTCATGAGCAACATGCTGTACGCCTGCAGTATCCTGTACAAGACCAAGCTGCCCATGATTCTGGTATTCAACAAAACCGATGTGCAAGACGCCACCTTTGCGAAGGAATGGATGACGGACTTTGAAGCTTTCCAGGAAGCGCTGCAGAGGGACGAGATGAGCGACACGATCGGCGGGTATGAGACGGCAGAGGGCGGCAGCGGCGGAACGGGGTACATGGGCAGCTTGCTAAACTCCATGAGCTTGATGCTCGAGGAGTTCTATTCCCACTTGAGCTTCGTGCCCGTCAGCTCCCGGCTGGGAACGGGCATGGACGAATTCTTCGAGGCTGTGCAGGAAAAGGCAGAGGAGTTCAAGCAGGACTACCTGCCTGAGCTGCAGCGCCGGAGGAAGGAGCGCGAGGAGCAGAAGCGCAAGACCCGTGAGCAAGAGCTGGACAAGATGATGAAGGGCATGTCAGTAGATGCCGGCAAGAAGCCGCGGGTTGTCAAGCCGGATGACGACGATGATGGTATCGAAGTCGCCAGCGACGTGGACGACGACGACATGCCGGACGACGAGGATGACAGAGAGGGTCTCCAGGCTCGGTACGAAGCTGCGATGGAGGCTGAGGGCGATTCCATCATGGCGGACGGCAGTTTCGCCAAGTACTTGCATACCCGCCAGGCATGAGAAAAGGGTTGAGAATAAGCATGCACATAGAATGAATCATGGGGCGGGATGGCGTTTTAGAAGGTTGCTGCATTATCATGAGATACCTCGAAAAAAAAGGAAGAAAGGGTGCAGACTGCCTTCCTCTATGAATTGATTTTTAACCCCCAAGCCCAAACTCCAGGAATTTCTGCGCATTGTGATACTGTCTTCAGCCTCTCTCTCTCTGTGTTTCTCTCCCCATTCCATCATGTCTCATTTTCCCCAACCCACGTCGCAACCATTACCTCGCCTCGAACTGGACCATTCTGCGCGCGAGTGAGTCAGTATTTGCGCGTCTCGTCCGAGTCCCAGACCAGATAAACTCACCTCTTGGTGCGCTCCTTGTACAGGATACGGCAACCGCATTCCTTGCAACGGATGGGGTCGGCGCGACGGAGCTGGAACTTGAGGCCGCAGTCACCGCAGAGGTACTGCATCTGAGGGCCCTCGTTGCCGTAGGAAGAGTAGTTGGCGGCGCTGGGGGCCGAGGAGGCGCCGGCAGTCGGGACTTGGTAGGCTTCGCGAGACATCTTTGATGTTTGGTAGAACGAAACTTCGGGTGGTTGTAGTTGGGGGAGTGTGCGAGTTGCGACGGTCGAGAGTGGTGAACGCGACGGGGGTAGACGACTGCGATTTTCTTTCTTGCGACGGCGGCTTGGAAATGCAGGAGGGCTGTTGCTAGGCTGGATGACAATTTGTTAGGCGGTGAAGGCGGAATGGCGGCAGAAAAATAAGATCGGTGCCGGGCGGTGTGCACTGTGCAGGCGACCAGTGGAGCTCAGGTGAAAACAACGCTGAACTCGTGGAAACCTGCTGGAAGTGAACACTGAGAAGCTCCGGCCTGGCCCACTTCCCGAGGTTAATCGTGATGTTAGTGGTACGGATATCGGATATCGCTGCGGCAGAAACCTAGGGAACATCTCGTCGACGCGCAGGCCAATCTTCGCGTCATCTCTCCGACTCAGGCAGCTTGTTGACTTTCTGTTCTTCTGTTTTCTTCGCCTTTTGCAAGCTTGCGGCAACCGACAGTATCATCCAGCAGCCAAGCAATGCCTCGGTAGCGCAAAGGCTCTTCCACTCAACGTTGCATCTCCTCCAAAACACCATCGCATCCCTCAAACCATGACGCCCACCGCCTTCGACTCGGGCGTAGAGCCCCCTGAATCGAGCTGTCCATTCTGCATAATTGCCGACGAATACCCTCCCTACGACCCGGCCTATCCCCCGCAAGACGAGACCACGCTGGACCCGAACCGGATCCCCACGCCCGCCTTCATCGTGCTCTCAACCGAGACGCTCATTGCGTTCCTCGACATCCTCCCCCTTTCGCGCGGCCACCTGCTGCTCTGCCCGCGTACGCACCGCCCGAAGCTGACGGACGCCTCGCCGGAGGAGTCGGCCGAGATGGGGAGGTATCTGCGGGTGCTGTCGAATGCCCTGGCGCGCACGACGGGCGTCGAGGATTGGAACGTCGTGCAGAACAACGGTGCCGCCGCCGCGCAGGTCGTCATGCACATGCACTTTCACCTCATCCCGCGGCCTGAGATTCGTGCGAGTGGCAGGTACAGCGAAAGTTTCACCATGTTTGGACGCGGGCGCAGGGAGGAGCTGGACGAAGAAGACGCCGAGCATTTTGCCAAGGATTTGCGGGAGAACGTGGCCGACATCTTGAGGGAGGAGGCACACAAGGCGAAGCTATGAACATTGGGATGCTTATTTTTTCTGGTTTTTATTACTTTTTTATTCATGTATGGATTTAAAGGCCCTGCAGCATTGTGGCAGCGGGATATGGACTATAGCGTTGGCTTTTTTTCATCTGCTCATTATGTGAGTCTACCCAGCTCACCCACCCCATCATATACCCAATGACCATTTACTCATCGTCGCCGAAGAAGACCTTGACACCGTCCGGCAGGAAGGTGCCGTCGCAGACCTTGAAGCGATCGGGAATGGCAGAGATCTTCTTGATCTCCTCCTCGGTCAGGGACCAGTCGTCAAGGTCGAAGTTGGCCTTGATGCGGCCCTCGGAGACGGACTTGGGGATGACGCTGGTGTCGCGGGCAAGACCCCACTGGAGCAGAACCTGCTGGGGAGTGCGGCCCTTGGCCTTGGCGATCTCGAGGAGAGTCGCGTTGGTGTAGAGAGGAGAGTCGGTGCTTCCGAGGCAAGAGTAGGCAGTGGCGTGGATGCCCTTGGACTTGCAGTAGTCGAGGAGCTTGGGAGAGGGGTTGCAGGGGTGGAGCTCGATCTGGTTGACGGCGGGGACGATCTAGGTTACTGGTCAGTCATGGTCGAAGTGGGAAGGCGAAGCCGGAAGCGCATCTGTAGGACTTACAGTGGTGGCAGGGTCACTCAGGAGGCGCTCGAGGTGGGTGAGGCCAAAGTTGGAGACACCAATGTTGCGGACCTTGCCGGTGCCGACGAGCTTCTGCAGCTCGTGCCAGGTCTTGACGTAGTCCCAGTCGGGGTAGTGCTTCTTCAGGTCATCGGGGTCGGTGGACGAAGGCCAGTGCATGAGGTAGAGGTCGACGTAGTCGGTCTGGAGGTTCTCGAGGGACTTGGTGATGGCCTCGGGGACGCGCTTGTGCCAGGGGTTGTCGAGCTTGGTCGTCAACCAGATCTGGTCGCGGGGGACGCCCGAGGCAATGATGCCATCACCGACCTCCTTCTCGTTCTGGTAGGCGAAGGCGGTATCGACGTGGCGGTAGCCGTTCTTGAGAGCGGCCTCGACGGCGAGCTTGACCTCGTTAGGCTTGGATTGCCAGGTACCCAGGCCAATGGCGGGGATCTTGGCTCCCGTGTTGAGGGTGAAGGTGCGGCTGTACATGGGTTAGCTGATAGATTATAGACGACTGTGGTCGTGTAATTGTGTTTGAAAGGAGGCAGTCTGTGTGACTTACGCGGTCTGCTTGGTGGCGGCCATGATCCTTTGCATACGGAGCAACCGGGAATAGAGACGGGTATCTTGGAAGAAGAAGAAGAAGAAGAAATCAAGTGGTCTCAAAAGCGAAGAACGTGAGATGAAGAACAAGAGTGAGAGCTATCACAAACTAGAATCGACAACATGGTGGGACGTGGGAGCTCTTATGTACCTCCTCGCTGAAGACAAGAACGGATGATTAACGTAAGCAGCAAGCTGTCCCGGTCATGGGTAGGTAAGGGGAGGTTAGTAGCGACAGGCGAACAGCTCGGCATTCTTTCCACTGCGGTTCCTGTTCGCCAGTTCGAAAGTTATGCGACATGCGCGACAGGACGAGAGGCACCGGGCTCGGGTCAAGAAAGAAGGCAAGGTAAGGTAGGTACATGCGGCGCGGGTGCGGGAGTCGCAAAGGACGGGGAAGGTCCAGTCCATTCACTTTGGAGTGAGGTAAGGTAGCCATCACCCCTGATCCCAATCCTTCGCGAAGCATTGCCCCTCCCCCCACCTCTTGTGCGTCCAGCAATGACGCAGTACTACGCTACCTACCTTACCTGCTGCCCTATCGGCGTCCAGCCTCTTGTCTTTTTCTGTGCTGACAGCTGTGGGCTTTCTCGATAATGTCAAGACTCAAGAGCGGGAATCTGGCATCTGCTTCTAAGGTAAGGTTGGCAAGGTACTTGGGTAAAGTGCCTACCTTACTCTTCCCACAAGGGCAATTTTAACAGTTGGGAAACTGATCCCGAGCACACTCAGTTGGTCAAAGCCCACTTTGCCTCCAGCAGAGCCCTATCCGTACCTATCTGCACCTATCTACATGTTCCTCAACGTCTTGCAGGGGCCTGATAACATGGAGGGGCAAAGCGGCGCAACGAGGGGCACCACGCAACAAGACACTAACACTTGTGGAGGGGAATTGGGGGCCCCAGGGACTCGCAAATAAAATCCCATGCCGTGCGGGAGAGGTACAAAGGGCGAAAAAAAAAACTGAAGCCGGCCATGACCTAGTCAGCGAATTTCGGTGTGCTTGATTGGCAGCGCTTGTTAGCCGTTCCAATCCGCGTCGTTGGAACGGGCAAATGTGCCCCGACGTGCGGTTTTTTTCTCTTTGCCTCTCCTTGCTCCTTCACATCTACACGTTATGCCACTCTTCGCCGAGACCATGCAACTTGGCCAGCCCTGGCGCGACTACCGGGCCAACTGGATGCCACCTTCTTCTCGCTTTAGGCACTTGCTGTTAAATCGGTCCCGGTTTGGCGGAACCGGGCGCATATGAACCTCTGCAGCCGCACGAATGTCTAGCCAGGAAATTCCCAACCCCACATCGCCATGACTCTTGGGCTCATTGACTTGCTTCGCCGTTCATCGTATCCTGCCCATGACTGGCCCGCTACATGTTTGCGATGGTTTTTCGTCAGAAGGATCTCGAAGGTTCCTTGATTCAGATCAAGTGCCACGTTCATCTCCAGCCTTCCGCTTGAGACAGAATGTTGACGTGGCCGGGAGCTCTTCCAAGGAGCATTGCGCGACGTTGTCATCGAGAGGTTGCACGGCTTAAATGCAGCGATCTCCCAACCTCCAGCTTTTTCTCCCATCTCCGCACTCTTCTCCTCTTCAACGGATAAGAAAAGCAAGCGGAAGAAGGAGTTGAACTGAACTTGTCCAAGGGCAGGTTTATCTCCTAGGCTGTCTGTGAAGCTGTCAAGCATCGACTGGCCCTTGATGCCGCACTAATTATTCTCACCTTCACTATAGCGAAGATGAGATTCTTTCGCTGTTATTTCACAGAAAGCAGCCAATATTCTCTCTAACCTAGGACAGTCGTATCATCCAAGTTGTCGAGACGGGGACATGTCGTCGACATTAACCACATAACGTCACCATGGATCCCTGTCACTCGGCCCGGAGTACCATCGGCTGGCTCCTTCTTTCGGCTACGCTGCGCAAATTGTCCGACCCCGTACGTCTTGCTGGGTTGGCAAAGAGTGGCGTGATCGTCGGGGACAAACCTCGCGGACAGTCCTTGCCTCACTTGTCTCGAAATCACAGGTCGACCTCTGTCCTGATTCATACTTACCCAGTCAATCACGTTTTCGGGCGACTGAAGGCTGATTCTCAACAAGCATACATACTATGTATTCTATGCTATGCTCAAGCCTTTTCACCTTGTGTGAGCAGCAACTTCTGAAGCTGGTTTGCGAGCGTTGGCATAAGTCAAGCCTATCTCTATAGGAATCACCACCTACCTACTAGGTATGCATAAGGCCAGTTTAGGCTAGAACATAGTTGCAACTCCCGTGCCAGGGGACCAGCCCTGAGATAGTCTCACGGAACTCCTCCAGGGTGAACCATGTGAATCGACAATCTTCGTCTTCCGGTATCACACCGAGGACATACGGCCAAGGTTGCTTCCTCCCACGAGGTGTGATCTATCAGCATGGTGGACATTCTCTTCTCGGCAGGGTTCTCTGCTTAGAGCTTCCCGTACGTCTTGGCGAGACTTTTATCATTCGATTCCTCTTCCAAGGACTACAAAAGGTCTGGCTGCTCTGTGTTTTGGGCTTAAGCTTGTTGGATAACCTGTTCTGTGTTTACCCGAACATCCGAAACTAGAGCAGACTTTTCCTCGTGATTTTCCTTATCATACCTATAAAGAGTTTCGTACACACGTGTAACACTCAAATGAAAGGCTACGCTGGTTTATTGTGGTTGCTAGGCCCCTTGAGATTCATGTCGAAAGTAAGCTCAGTACAGGTAACCTACGAAGCCAAGAAAAGGCTACGAGAATGAGTGAAGACAATAAGCAACCAAGAAAGCTGTCTTACATATCACTCCGGCAACCAACGGTACAGTCCACGTCCTTGGCTTTGGCGCCATTCATCACGCACGAGCAACAGCCACAGTGTCCGAGTTCCTCAAGCCACCGTCCAGTTAAGGTGCTGGCCTACAGACGGTCTGACAGCCGTCCTTGTCTCAGCCAAGGAACAACATCGGAGGCTGTGTTAAGGTTTGTGGGGGTGATCGGAGTACCGCCTGCTCTGGTCGTTGCAGCGTTCGGGGGGCACACCGGGTTGGGGGAAAGTAGGAGGGTATGGCTCAGGTTTTGGGTACAAAGGTTGATGCTTGTCTGTATGTTTACTTCTCTGAACCCACCAAGGAGCAAAAAAGACCCAATCTATCTAATACATCAAACTTGAGCGATGGCTAGCCAACATTCATGGTCAGCGTGTCTTGATGGCTGATGAATGTCATGGAACGTCTCGCGAAGGATGATTAAGGCTCTACACCTGTTTACAATATGAATCCTGGCAATGTAGAATTAACACATGAAACAAGGAATGCTGACAGGTAAGATTGTACGCAGAGCATATACTACTGTACTAGGTAAGAGCGTAGCATGACAATACAGTCTGCCAGATTTGAAGGCTTCCATAGTCATTGTTAAAGGCAGATTGCAGGTACATCCTTATTTTTCTCAAGATGTTTCTATTCCACGTCGATCTGGGGCATCTGTGATCAATCCCACCACTTGCCAGTGCCGTTGCTTAGTGGGCAGCAACTGGTTGAGAGCATCTTCAATAGATGAGTTGCTGATGGAAATCGTAGCAAATGACCTGAAGTCGCTTTCAATTCCCACCCGGCGCTCTTTGCCATTTCTCTCCTCTGAAACCTAATTATACTGGCCTCAAGTTAGTTAACCCAACATGCGCGAGGCTTTCTAAACGTGCGTATTGAGCCCATCATGACCAAATTAGAAACAATTATCAACCCTACGTAATGCATA